TCATGTCCTATCTTTTTTAGTTTCTTTAGGTTGCAACGCCATATTTTTAGTAACTGTCATTAAAAAGTAAACTAGCAAACGATTTCTCATGGGGCTGATTATAAAATTGAACATATTGTAATTTAAAAAAAGATAAAAAGAAACCTCAGTGCGCACTGGACGCTAAGCTGCTTAAGTCTAAAAGGAAGACTTGATGGTGTTAATGGACACAGGCCCTTACTGATAGTGAGCATTCAAGACAAGTGATAGTCATCTTGGATTCCTACATGTCTCTTTATCCTATACTCATAAAATAGTTGTAATTGGCCCGACATGACTCAGATTGGATAAAAATCTGTCATAAAATGCTAAAGAGACGAGATAGAGGACTAAAACATGTTGGGTTGGGGGTCTTATGTGGATTGATATATTTAATAAAACAGTTGCATGTCTGTTCTATGAGTGGGGATTGACAGATGGTCAGAAATGACATCAATAAAGGGACAATTTAGCCAGATTTATGAACCCATCACAAGTGAGCACAGCTGAAATGTAATTATTTTTAATGACGGGTTTTTGGGGGTTTTATTGGGTTGTGGCTAACTGGTTATCGCCCTTTTGTCTAATTTATTGAAGCAATGTCGTTGCATTCAGATCCAAACTGCGCAGCGTTCTTATTATGATGGGACTGACGGAGAACCTAAAAAAGATAAGACTCAATTTTACACATAAAAGGTTAGTCTATCGTTATAGAGAGCACCATTCACACTGTAAGTACAGTTTTAAAACGTCCTCTGTGATTCTGATTTAACTTTATTACAGTAAGAGTGAGATTATCTTATCAGGCTTGAGACTGTCATTTCTTTTCAGAAAGCCTGTTAAAGTTTGACTGATAAAGACGTTCAGCTGACAGGGAGGGTCAAATGAAAGATGCGATGAGTTGCAGAACGGGAATTTTATGATTCAAGCATTTGGGGGCTAAAAAAGTTAGTTAAATCAGGCACCTGTCCCTTTCTTCTCCAAATATCAAACACAAAACTAAATCTCAGGTGCACCACTTAAAATCATAGTGCACCAGAATTATCTTTACAGTCATACTGCAGCCTAAAAGCGGCACAAAGGGAGGGGGCGAGGGGCCACAAACGAGTCTCACGCCAGCTTTTGTTGCTTTGATTCAAGCGGGATCTCGTGCTGTACTCCTAACGCCAGGGGCAACTCATAAAGGGCTTTAAAATAATAAAGACATTTAAAGTGGCTATTAAAGTCAATGTCGCTTCAAATTAACACATGTGCCTCAGTGTGTGGGTCTGCATTTGAAATAGACATGACGCCTCATTTATTAAACACAGTCACAGTTACAGTGTTAGTCGATCCGGTGATTGTAAGCATCAGCAGACGAACGCGCGCACAAAAACAGAAGAAGAGGCTTTTAATCTGGGGGGGAAAAAACAAGTGAGTTTGCTCCTCCGGTTGTATCACATTTACCTCGGTTATCGCCAGCGTGGTGGGTGGATAATCATCATCATCAACGTCGTCATCCATCATCTTTGTTCGTCTTTTAATATCTCGCTCTCAATCTTGATGAACCAAATTAGAATATAATTGAACTGAGGGATAGGAACACAGGCTGCGCAGGGAGGGGTTTTCTCGTCAGAGGGGAGGAATTTCTAAGCTGCACGAGAGTAGCAGTATTTATCAGGGAGAGATAGACCTGATATTTATTACATATATATATATATTTTATTTTATTTTTATTTTTTTAAACTAAGCTCATGTCATTTTATAAGCTTCAATTGCCACCTTTATGTATTGATGTATCATATTGTCCCAACCTCAGTCCCCTTATTTATTATTTTGGGCCATTTTGACTAGCTTCGCAAATTGACGTGACAGTTCTGTCAATTCGTAAGGGTTTTTTATATAAATGTAAAAGACTGAAATTCATACTGATGCCTTTTATCATCTATAAAAGCTAGCAATAACATCAGCAACAAAATTGGTGATTTTCATATTGTACGTATGAAAAGCTTGAGGGGGTAGGCGTCAACCAAGCAGCTAAAGAAACAGCCCTCTTTTTACAATTTCCACATAAAATATTTACAAAAATATTTACATTTGGCTATCCGAAATTAGCAGGATGAGTTTCTTTTTTTCTTTTTTCTTTTATTTTCTTTTATTTTCTTTTCTTTTATTATTTATTATTTTTTAATTTTTTGAGTGATTTGGCCACAGGGGGCGCCAGAGTGGACTTCAACTTAAAGTTCCTCACAGGAGCTTTTTTTGTCTGTCTATAATGCTAGTCCTAGGAGGATCTAAGCTTATTTGGTCATAAAAAACAGTCAATAAGGAAATAAAACAACAAAAGAAAGTAATATTTATCTAAAAATAACTTCACAGCATTTTTACGTTTGTCATTAAATGTCCATCGTCATTAAAAAGTAAGCTAGTGAACGATTTCTCATGGGGCTTATCGGGTGAAGCTGCACAAGCTACTACATTTGCACATTTGTAGTTCAATCAATAACATGCGGCTCTACAAGTCATCACACTCCTGTCACACTATGTGACACAAAAGGTGGTGAATCACATTGTTGGCACATAAATGAACACGGCTACAGCGTGTGCACAGGCAGGAACATGAAGCTGCATGTGAAAGTGAGGACTGTCTGTCCATTCTGCTGCTCCACACAAAGAAAAAACAGAGTGACTGTGCATCTTTCTTCACTCTGATATGAGCACAGGGGCAATGATATTCCACATCTGTCTCTGTGGTGTTTACAGACTCCCGTGGGTGCAAAGCAACAAGACAAAGAAAGACAGAGAGCGATAAAAGAGGGGGATGAAAAAGAGTCATACGTAGAAGATAGAGAGGAGGGGTGTTGATGACTTTTCCATATGTCGGTTTTGTCTGATTTCCTCTGACAAGAAGCTGCTTTAAGTGGGTTTCAGGCTGACGGGTCCTGTGAGTGAAGGATAAAATGAGAGAAGAAGAGATTATGCACATATATAAATGGATAAAGCCATTTGGAACTATTGAAAGCACTCAAAGTGATTGAGAGAAAGCAAATTCACTTGAGTACTTTTGAAGCGCCATCTTTAGCGTTTTAACACATCACGGCATGTCAGTACGACTATCGCCTGAAAGATTTTTATCACTCAAGACAATCGACACAAAGATCGGCTGCTTTGTTTGCATTATAAAGTCGGTAAAAACAAAAAAAAAGCTAAAAATATACGTATATATGAAAGTGATCAATTTACTTTGGAACCCTTGAGCGACTGTGACAAACAATCATTGTATTTTCCGATAAATAAATTAAAATGGTACATAAAGTCAGTCAACCTGAAAAAACTAAGATAACCCGTTTATGTGCCATTCGACAAGACAATTAATCTTTTTACACAAAATTTATAAGCTTAATATTACCTTAAATTTTAGCATCTCTTCTTAAAAGTTGCTCCATTAAAGCTCCTGTGAGGAATTTTCAAGTAGATGTGAAATTGAGTGCAATACAGTTGCTTTTAATCCAAGGTGTTTTTTTTATGCTAGCATTTTACCACCGTCATGGGATAGGTGTCGGATAAAGCAATAAACATGACACTGTGATTTTTGGGGGGCAAAACTATTTCTCTGTTACAAGACAACAGGCTGAATTTTTGTCTATAAAAATCTGAATTTTTGAATGAACGGGACAAAAATGGCAAAAAGAGGGCACCAGAGTAGTCGCAGTGCATTAAAGCTGCTTTTCTTCTTCATTTTTTAAACAAAACTGTAATTTTTAATGCTTTCACTCGTATAGAAGAAGGGTAAAAAGGTACAACTTTATCCACAGGGGGCGCCAAAATCAACACAAACAAGGTTTCTCAAATCAACTTGAAAAGAAAACAGGATAAGAGCTTTTGCAGAAAACTACCTTCACAGATGGACCAGCAAAGAAATAAAAGTTGTGTTTTTTTACCACAGGGGGCGCCAAAACCAACACAAACAGAAAGTTCCTTATAGGTGCTTTAAATGTAATACTCGCCCCTCCCTGTTTTGTGTACATTTTCATGCACATTCCACACACATTGTTGTATTTGGATCTTAAATGCTTGGACAGCTACAAACTGATGCTCCAGCTTCAAGTGTGTGCGGTAATGTGTTATTTATCGTATATGCTATCTGTTGAAAAGTGTTAAAAAGCTGCCTACTCACAGCACTAACAGTGTGGGCACTGCAGTTCTCTGCCTCACATGCCGCGGCTGCAGCCAGTAAATGGGCCCTCACTGTGCCTGTGCTCGTTGTGTGCCCAATTTGACAAAAAAGCCCAATCAAACCCCTGCCCCTCTCTCGCAAAGGTCACAAGCACTTTAATGGGGAACTCCTATTCAGCCGGCGATTGGGGAGATGAAGGAAAGTAAAACCCCAGCGAGACGACTTCCTGCCTTCCACTCTGCTGCACAAGCTGAATTCAGAAGCTTCTCGGGAGGATATAACGATCTGGAAATCAAGCTTCGCACATGAGTCATACAACCAGCCGAACCCCCCGCCCTCGCCCTTTTTTAAAGCAAACAAAAGTGTTTTGCTTTTCATCTCAACTGACACTAGAGGATAAAAAAAGAAAGTTACATGAGAAGAGGATAGCGCAGAGGGGGAAGATTTCTCCAAGAGGTGGTGGTGGTGATGGGGGGGGTGTTTTACATGATTAGGTGTGGCGCTGACAAACGAGAACCCCCTCTTTCTTCTTCTCCACAGTGCTGACATGCTATAGAGTGAATGTGTGGGTGGGTGTCAGGGTGATGATGGCTGCATAAATTTGTTTTAAGTTTGTGTGAGATCAAACTGAGCCAGGTTTTATTGGAAATCTTAGGCATTTAAAAATAATCCGTCGGTTCAGATGAGAGTTTAATATACAAAAGTTGACTTAGATGTAATTTGTCACACATTTATGCATGAGAAAAGAGAAAAAAGGGGGATTAAATAACAATCTAAAGTGTGTATAAGCTTTAACTATAAGGAACAGAAAAACAGACATGACTACAGAGGAGCTAACTTTTGCAATCGTTCGATAAAAACGATCCATATATTTCCTTACACAGTAATCCAGTGGGCGCCTGCAGATCCTGTGCTGCATCGCCACACTGTTCACTCGCTGCACACCCGTGTGTTCACACAATCCTGCTGTGTGACGCCGTAGTTGTAGATTCGAAACGCAGCCTTCCTGCTGATTGATCCCCTGGCTTCCTGCAGGCCTCCTGGTCCGATACAGCATGATGGGAAGAAAATTAATCAGCAGGCATCCAATTACTGCAAACATACTCTTTTTTATACACTCGTGCATACAATTTGTTCTTTTTAGAGGTTATATGTGTTTAATATTTGTAAAACATATTCCTGCCTTTCTGTCATTAACTCGGGCTAATTGCAGCCCATTAGCTTCACAGGAGACTTCCCTTTTATTTCGCAAAATTAGGGAGGAAGTTCTGGAGGAATTGGGCTGCTCAGCAGTCTTGGTTCACATTAAAAGCAGTACAACATAACTGGGGAAAATGAGAGTCAGGATATTTAATTCTCTGCACTTACTGCTCACCTGGTTGTAACAGATGGTTGCCCACCGATGAATCTGGTCCTGTCCATGGTTTCTGTCTGTCCAAATAAGCTTGTCCATACTGCTCTGCTTACTGGTTGACTGTGATTTATCTATTTACAAGCCTCGACACTGAGAAAAGAAAAGAGCTGCTTAGTATAGTAAGATGAGGTAAAGTTAGGGGGTGGTTGTGCAAAACAGAATCCCAACAGGGTGAAATAAGACACCAAAACTAAGCTATTGGGCTCGACCACCACTCAAGTATACACTAACCTTCATATTTAACGGCTTTACAAACAAGTCAACGCTAAGAAAACTGTCCCTTAGTTTGTTGGTTGTTGGTGCTTCCATGGCAACAATACAAGTTGAATTAACTTTCCTTCTTTGCACAGTCGAAACTTTGGCATTTTTCCATTGGTTATGTCCACAGATGCTGATGATCAGTTAATCTTTCTGTAGCACCAATTCACATCAAATGTTAGCTGGTCTAGACCGTACTCTTCTGTGGTTACTTGGTGTCTGTTTTCTTTAATTTGGTAGATGTCTCTTTCGCTTTGAGTGGTTTATTAACCCACATGTCTGCTTCTTCTGCCATATCAAAAATGTCCTCCATGTTGTTGAAAGACGCCAGTAGAAACAGTAAAATTCTAGTAACAATATCAACAAGACGAGATGCAATCATGTATACTAGATATACCACTGAGTCCTTTCCAAGGGTTGATTTTGTACCATTCGATATCCGTTTTTTCTGCCATCACCTTTGGAATTCAAAATTACTAACCATTACCAAGGTGTTTCGACCAATCAGAATACAGTATTTGACACATCCAGGTGATTAGTGAGAAAGCCAGGTAATGTGATCAGATAACTTTGTTGTTTTTTTGTTTGTTTGTTTGATGAAAATAAAAGTGATTTTTGTGATGGTCGCCAAAGATGGCTGTCTATCTGTGACTCTGGTTCTCCTCGAGGTTTCTGCCTGTTTTTGCCTCCAGGTTTTTTTAAGATAGAATAACATGCTAAAGAGAGAAATCCTGCTCGGGGTCTTCAGATGTACTTTCTGCTTTTATGTGGAGAAACTTAAGAATACAGGTTATTGAATAATTGCAGGAAAGTTCTATTGATTAACTTCTGATTCGTGTGACAGGCACATCGGGAGAAACATATACAGCAGCATGTAGATCTTCTGTCAGTGTAAAAAACATGCCTCCTGACGTGTGTATGTTTCTTCACCACCTACATCAGCAAACCATGTTCTGTCTGTGTGTCACCCCATCACCCCTCCTGAACCGTCCTGTCAGAGGACCGGACTGCAAAAGCCTCATCCTCATCTGGGTGTCATCCTTACATCCCTCCCACTCTCTCTCTCTTTCTCCCACTCTCTCTCTCTCTCTCTCTTACTTTCTCTCTCCTTTTTTGTTTGTTTTGTTTGAGTCCCTCTCCTCTCTTCCTCTTCTTTTCCTCCAATAAGAACAATAGGTTATAGAACGCATTTTCCTGCAGCATTACTCACAGGCACCAGCCGCCACATGCCATTAGGCTCAGGCGAGGAAGAGGATGGTTCAGACAGTAAGGCGCTGGCAAGCGAATAGCATGTCTGCCATCTAGTGGAGAGGACTGAAAACTGAAAGGAGGGAGAAAGAGAGGGAGATATTGGCGTTCATGAGCTGGGTTCTAGATGGCAAATCTCCATCCAATTTGTCAAAGGCAGGACAGAATACTTATTTGCGCAGTTGTTGTTTTTTTCCAGGTGAACAGGTATGATTGGATCTGGACCGGATCCGTGCTGTTGTCAAGTCAGGTCCCATTCGGAAATATGGCAGTGCTACACATCCCTGTTTATAAGCAATTATTTGGAGGTGTTTTTTAATAAAGTACAGAGTCACGAAACAAGCCAGCACTGTTTTAACTCTGTTTTCTTCTCGCTCAACTACAAACACGAGGTAGCAAACTATGGAGCCAGATCACCGACATTAAAAGTTGGCATTGACAACAGAATTTGGCATTGTAGTAAAAACTTTTGGCATGGTAGTAAAAGTTTGATTGACACTGAAACAGGTGTTGGCATTGAAAAATGTTGGCATAAAAGACACAATATTTCATTTGGAGTTTTTAAAATTATATTATCATGTGGTTTTCAATGTCAGTCCTCAGATTTCTTCTTCATTTTAAGTGTCTGTGTTTTTCAGTCTCACTTTGTTTTCAGTTTGTAGATAGATAGACGGACAGACTTGCGGTCTCCCATCCAGGTACTAACCAGGCCTGACCCTGCTTAGCCTCCAAAATCAGACGAGATCAGGTGTGTTAAGGGTGGTATGGCCGTAAGCTGTAGTCAAACTTTTTAAATTGTGAAGTTACCAGCAGGGTTTTGTCGTGGAGGGGAGGGGCTAGAGACGGGTGAACACGCCCCAAGATTTTAAAAAGGGACGAGGAGTAGCGTGGCCAGATTATGGTGCAGCCTTTCTCCACTGAGAGTGGACATGGAGCAAACAAGTTCATCTGTAACTCCAAACCGACAGTAAGTCTGTTTTAATTTTATGCTTAAGTCTGCTGGAACAAGCGCTAACGTTAGCCAAGCTAAGCTAAACTGGCTAAGCTAAGGTAGCTAAGCTAAGGTTGTTATAGATGCTAGCCAAGTGGTACCAGGTGCTAACCGCTCCTGTGCTCACTGAGATGATCCTTCAGTTCGTCACAACGTCGCCCTCAAGGCTCTTTTTGGCAATGATGGCCCACACTTTACTCGTGACAGGGAGGAGAGTTAGCAAACAGATGAAAGGTGACCGGACTTGCAGGATTTACTGACTTAAAGTATGAAATTGAAGTCAAAATCAAATGCAAAATGTGGATTTGGTATCATGAAACATTCTTGAATTAGTACATTCTATCTTAAGAAATTTGACGGTTGACAATCAATATCATCAATACAGTGATTTCATGGGTATGAAACAAGATTCCAGCCATAAACGTGAGCTGTGAATTTTATATTTGTAGAAATTCCCTCTAACAGCAAGAAGCTAACTGTTGGTCCAACTAAAAGCTGGTTTAAGTTTCAGTTTTCCTCATTTATTAACCTCTTAAATGTAAAATACATCAACCAGTGCTGATACTCTCCTGCGCTCTATCATAACAGTACGTATACCAATGTTGCTGATTTGTGATAAAGGTCGATAAATGTTGTAAACTATGCTGCCTAATGCAGAGTTCACCTCTGTTTTACACACTTTTAAGGTAGATTTGATGAATCCTCTGAGTTAAAAAGCTCTCGACTGGCATTTAATGGTGAAAAAATGATTCCTGAAAAACCCAATTTTGAAACTTTCATTGGAAAGCATCTTACAAGTTTTCTCCCATTGCTTAGGAGACATAAATATGTCTCATCCTCCAAGTTTTATTGATGTAAGTGGTCACTTCTCACCATACCAGTGGCTAAGACATGATAAAGAGAGTGTCGTGAACTAGATTATAGTCCATTTTCTATATATGGACCACCTTATACTCTGTTATCCATCTACGAGGCTCTGTCTGCCTGTGAGTCCAGGAGGATGAATCCACCTGAGCGCCTGTGCTCGTGTGGCAGACGTAATGAATGACATCTACCCTTAGAGGAAAATTTTAATGTAACTCACCTGCTCTTAATCCACTATTTATAGACCCTGACAAGAGAGGCCTAGTTAAGTCAAATACCTGCCTGAAACTGCTGGAACACGACCGACTTGTCATTTTTCGGATGCTCTGAGGCGCTCTCGACGTTATCATTCGTCTGGGTGGTGAAGTTAACAAGCTAACTTTGTAATAAGAGGTATCAAAGCGACTGTTTTGCTTCTGACGGCTGAAAGACAACACCTGCTGAAACATCACAGCTTGGGCTTGTGGCCAAAAGCGAATCTCGTCTTCTAGTCTTGGACGGCCATCAAAGAGGGACACGAATATTCAGTGGCTTGTAAAATTTGTGTCAGGGAGGATATCTAAGAGGCAGTCAATGTAGAGTATACGACACATGTAAAGTAATGCTTGTGGACATCTGCATAAGTAATTCTCTCAGCTGTCTTTAAGTGTAAATGGTTTGAGCAAGGGAAGAGATTTCATGTTATTTCCGAAGATAGAGTTCGAACAACCTCTACTATCACCTCAGATTTATAAACCTGACACTGAGTCTTCGTTAAGTCTTCGGTGGATATAGAAAACAACATCGTCAATATATGAGGAAATTAATGAGCAGTAATCTTAGGAGTACGAGTTGGTGTAGGTTGGAGTGGAGGAGGTTGAGTACAGACCTCTCAGCACCTTTTTTTTCGATCTGATGCAGAGAACAATCCACGAGTGAGCCGAGGCACACAGACTGAGCTTGAGCCTTTTCCATCTCCCTCTTGTTTGGCTCCCGTATCTCCTCTTTCGTCCCCCTATCCCCTCTCTATCTCCTGCTCTTGCTTTCCCCCTTTATCCCCTTCTTTCTCTCTCCTCTGATAAATCTCACACTTGCTGCTTCCCCCCCCCCCCCCCGCCATCTCATCCCCTTCTTCCCCTTCTCCGGTCTTACCTGTATCTATCTCTGTATGTGCCTCCTTCTTTTCTCTTCCCTTTCTTCCTCCCTTCCTTGCCTCGTCTCCGCCTGCAGGACTGTTCAGTAGATTAAGTTTAGCAGTGGCGGCAGTGTTGCTGATTCAGCCGTTTTCTTTCAAATGACCCAAATCCTCGCTCAGTAGAAACCTCGTGCACACACTGATTGCGTTTTTCCCTCTCTGTCTGTCTTGAAGTCTTTTCATGGGCATGGACGTACACAAATACACACTTCTTATTGATCTGAGAGTTAGCCTCTTCCTATTTTTTGCACGGCCTTCATTCTGCTTCTAAGCCGCTCGAGTGTGTGTTTGTGTTTGTGTTTGTGTGTTTGCTCTTTCTATATCAATATCCGTAGCGAACCTGCAGGCTTATTTCGGGCCCATTTTTCTTCACCGTCTTCATTCTTCGTTGTTTCGTCTGATCACAGTCAAGCTCTGCCGGTTCGTTCATGAAGATAAGTACAAGTTTTCCCCCTTCAGCCTCAATGTCAAAGCTCCTTCGCGGAGGATGTCTTTACATTCGTGTCTACAAATGAGTTTCGAAGACAGCATGTTGAGTGTCATCCCCAAATTGACGCCCAGACTGCATACGTTTTTCGCTCTCTTTGATACTCACTTTGCTTTTGTTCTGTCAGGTACGTGGCAATTTTATTGACAAGACTTGAAAAGAAGTGACAAAGTAGATCAAAATTAGCATACTTTATTCTTATGATGTTCGACAGACGGTTTCAGGAAAGTGAGCAAAGACACTAGATGTCACTCACACGTTCTGTTAACGAAGAGGCGGGTTTCTTTTGGTTCCTTTTTAGGCAAGTTTTCTGGTGTTTTTCTTCTTGACGATTACAACTGTTGAAAAGTCCAGCTTTGAGGAAGACTTGGTTTTACTTAAGCCAGTCAAGTCACATCACTAAATTTTCATGGCAAAGTCAAGTCTCTAGGTTTTAGCTAGAAGGAAGACAAGTATGGCTAATGTTTTTATGACAGTGGGCTCAAAAATTGGATGATCATTTCAACCAAAGACGCCAACACGGCAAGAAAGTCAAAATCTGTGATTGGCTTTGGCGATGCCCAAAAGAGTTTGTTGAGAAAACAGACAGAGAACAAGAACCAAAGCTAGGCTATCAAGTAGAGTTTAAAAAAAAGATAGCTTTTTTAAAATAAATTTTCTATATTGATTCGTTTCATTGAATGATTCGTCTATGATTACCCTTGGCACTGCTCTGAAAACACACTCTAAAGCAGTTGAAAGCAGATGTGTGGCAGCATTTGGTAGGGTGACCATACGTCCTTTTTTACCCGGATGTCCTCTTTCAGGGGGGCTTGTCCAGGCTTGTCCAGGGAAGCTTATAAAATCCTCCAAATGTCCGGGGTTTTGTATGGAAGTTTCGAGTTTGTGTCACTTGGACTTACAGAGTTAGAAGCGCGTAATAGACACTCAATCCGACCCGAAAAACTCTCTAAATTAACTACGATCGTGACTCTGTGACTCCGCCCCCACGTAGTCTAGCCTTTTTTGGGGATTCAGAATATGGTCACCCTAGTATTTGGGATTTAAAAAGTACAAGGACTTGGACGAGTTGGACAAAAACAGGCTGGTCTGCAAGTAAGTCTAGATTTTTTCTTGTTGCTAAATTACAAAACAATCCAATATATTGACTGCTTATTATGATGTCTTTTAAAGACTTTTTTTATTGTTATTACATTACATTTTTGTGGATTTTTAGGTGAAGTGACACAGACTTGACGCCACTTGGTTCAGCAACAACAAAAAAAGAAGAAAAAAAAAGAGTGACTGCGGCAAAACTAGGTCGTGAATTAGTATTTGGTTGGATATCTGGCGGTCTGATAAGAAAAAGAACCATCTTTATGTATTAGATTGTTATGGAGAGAAAAACTTCAAACTCGCTGTATTGGGAGTTTAAAAAAAAAAAAATCTATCGCTGCTGGCAGTCGGAGAAAAAGCATAAGTGATCACCATATATTTGAAAGACGAGGTGAACCTCAGCTCAGGAGTTCACCTCATACCTTAGCACTTCATGCTCCAAAATTCAATTCCCGGGGGAACATGAACAAGGTTACACATTGAGTAACAGCGGGGTGGCGTCGTGTTGTTGAGCAGAAGTGCTGTCACACATTTGACCCTCCAGAGCAGCCACTTGTCCTTGCCTTAAAAAAATAAAATAAAATCTCAACACGAAATCAGCACCTGCTCACTCCTGCTCAGACACTCTGATCTGAGACTATCGGCCTAATCATGTTCGAGACATACTGCAAATGACTGACTGTTACTTTTGTACATGTGCATGTAAATTAGGAATAAAAAGCAGGCCAGGCGTATTTAACAACCCTTAATGACTCTCTGAAAGGAAACATTTTCTACTTTTTTCTCTTTTTTTGGATAAGGAAGACACATAAATGTCGTTTTTCTCCCTGTGTGATATACTATCTGGGATTTAACCAAATGTGTAGGTGTTAAAATTGAGAGGGATGTTTAGAAAAGAGAAAGACAGAGAGTGACAGTGAAATAAAAAGCAGAAGGAGAGCGAAGAGGAGACAGACTGAGAGTGTGTGAAAAGTGGCGAAGGGAGCACGGTAAGCCGCATTGAAAACACGAAACGCTCCGGCTGTCTCGAATTCAATCGAGCAAACATCGCGGAACATTCTGAGTCTTTTTGATCAATTAATCTGGCAGATGGCACGAGCGCAATCAAGAGAGATAATGCCGAGCGAGCGAGCAGGAGAGAGGAGAGAAGCAGGTGGAAGGTGTGAAAGTTCGTCCTTTCATGTGAAAGCTGAGTTTCCTGACTTTGAAACACCACAAATGAGGAGACCGACAGAAAAGTGAAAGAGTGACAGACAGTTAAGCGAAGTTGGGGTTTTTCGAAGAATATGTGCACACATACTTGTGTACGATTCGTGTTCTTATGTGCACTTCAGTTGTGTTTTATAGGTTTGTGCGCCTCTTATGAAGTAGAGCAGCAGATTGATGAAGGAAAAAGCAGCTGAGGAGTTTGGCAGGTTGCAGCACACAGAGCTATCATCCAGTAATGGTGAAAGGCAGAGCAGAGCTAAATTTCAGTTTTGTTTTGGTATCATAACAGAACTGTATGTGTCTGTATATCTTCTAGGTCTCCTGTTGGTTTCATTTTTATGTGTCTCAGTTTTTAGTCTGGTGTTTTGTGTCCCTGTATGGTCTTTTGTCCTTCAGTAAAGTTGATATTTTTGTCACTTTGTAGTGTGGTGTAACTCTCTGTAGCTTTGCAGCTGTTTTTTAAGCCTTGCCAATCAGGGGGTTTGTACCTTTCTATGTAGGGCTGCACGGAATATCAGCAATATGTGAATTTGCAGTGGTCACAATTGTCATATGACCTGAAAGACGTCGGGATTGTCCAGGACTTCTAAGTTACAAACAGAGAGAAACAGACCAGACCATTGAATATAAACATGCACATGAGTTGCATCGTTGCTTTGGTCAAATATCCCCAGAAAACTCTCAATCAAGTAACACAGATTTAATTGTGTTGTCCTGACCATCCCAGTCCTTGTTAACGTCGGGGGACTGCTAAACCAATCAGACCACAGATTGTTTACTTTTAGCATCTACACTTCAAGTGTGTGCATATCACAGTGGTGTGACAGTTATTTGTAGAAAAGGATGGGGAGTTTTCGTTCAAGTAGAAGAACCATATAATTATAATTGTATCAGAAATATTTTATAATCTAACATCACTTTGGTATGAAGTCCTGTAATTTTACATGTGGGGGTACATATAGTGAAAAAAACAAATTATCCCAATGTTAGTGTTTTGACATTTTTTGCCGCCCTAGTTTGTTTTCTTTGCCCTTTCTGTTGGAGTTACTTTTGGTCTTCTTCTTTGTGTCTTTGTGTTTTTTCTATTTGTTGTCTGATGGTGTGTCATTGTCAAAGTGTTTTTGTGATGTTGTTTTGAGTCTTTTCAGTTGTTTGGTTTCTCTTCTTTTGCTATAAAGTCGCTCTGTACAGGCTTGTATTTTGATTTCGGTTCCCGTCCCCAAGGTTGTGCTGTGTCTCTTTGTAGTTGTTATGCATGTGTTTTGTTTGTTTGTATATTAGTTTGTCTGAGTTTTTTTTGCTTCTCCTTTTTTGTCTATTCTTTGTTTTTCTTTGGTTTTTGTCTCTTTATGGTTTTGTTTGTTTCTTTATGGTCATTTTACATCATGTCATATGTTACAGTATATTATGTTATCCACTGTTAATATGATACTAGTTTCGTCATATCATAACAATACTTACCAAGGCAACAGCTGAAGTTCCATGTGATGTTTTCCATGATGCTGTCCCTGGGATTTGTGTTTTTTTACTCTTCTTCTTCTTCACCCCCAACTTAGCTTTGTTTTGTGACCAGAACCTTTTACTTGAGTCCCTTAGTAGATTTTTTTGTGCACTTTCTTGGTTGTTTTGTCTCTGTGTGTTATCCTTTAGTATCCCTCTGTTGTCTTCTTTTGAGGCACGCTTTAATGCTTTGACCTTCTATTGAAAGAGTAGTTGTCGTACCAATGAGAACACACACCTTTCATATTCATCTTTCAGCTATTCACTCTTGTAGCGGGCGCCTCAGCTTGAAAGTGGAACCAATCCGGGTCAGACCGACTCCAAGTTTACCTTAATTTACACCCCGTGCATAAGCAGAGACAAAAATCAAAACAAAAACAAAGGCAAAAGGTGTTGCGGGGATCTGGATTAACCACAGACTGTTTTATCTCTAAAATAAATTGCCTTGTAGACAAAAGAACTAATTCACAGGGTCGGGAAAACAAGAGAAACCTGAGGAGGAGCATTCTCACTACACGTCAGCTCCCTCTCCCGCCGACGCAGCGTCTCTAATCGATGAATATTGAGTGGCCCCCGCCACCAGCATTTTTAAAGGGAGGGAGCACCCACCATCTTTCATATCTCATATTGATATTTTTGTGCCCTATTTTTCTTTCTCTACTCTTCCTTCCTTCATGCTCCTGGAGCCTCAGTCAGCAGCGTCAAAAGTTTCTCAGCTCTAATAACTGCTCTAACTTTGCAGCTGTAATGACTGTAGGTGTTTTGCTCAGTTGAAATTTTTTTTCCGTTGTTTTTTTTTTTTTTTTAATAATGGAGAGGTTGCTGAGGACAGCGTTCCTCACTGTTAGTTATTTTGTTTCTTTTTCCCACATGTTTGACATTCACAGCTCACTGGCAAAACAAGCCTGAAGCACAGCGGCGTGGGCTTGTTTCTTAAGGGAGGGAAAGGAAAAAAAAAGAAATAAGATGTGCTCATCATTTCAATTACATGACACGCATTGCACACATGGGTGTGTTTTAAACACGCGCACACACTCAAGCTGAACCAGATAGCGCATGTACCATTGGTTAATAGCCCAATTTATTCAGAGAATATTACTTATTAATTTGCATAATGATTCAGATGATTCAGACATTTGTTAGAGGCGGAGTAGCATGATTGATGGAAATTTAATTATGACACCTCTTTGTTATTAAGCAGTAATCAGACTAAGCCACTTATCTTTAGTACTTACCTTTAGCACATAAGGGCTGGAGGAAATTAATGGCAGACATTGGTCTTGAACTGAAATAATTTCTTCCTTAAACCTTTATCAACCCTTTAACACGGTCATGGATTCAAATTTAGCCAAAACACAAGGATTCCCACTAATGGAAACCTCCTTTATGACTATTTTTGCATGTAATTGTGCATTTAGCTAACCTGAGCTTTAACCTCCCTGCGTAAGAAATTATGCTAATCGAAGTATTGAGACAGCCGAGCACCTCCATGTCCTTTAACCTCTTGTACCATGTCCAAGAGAGAGCTTTTGACACAATCTGTTTAAAAAAGCAGACTCGGTCTGTTGTGTACTTTGGCTTGTTTAAGAGGCGAAATAGACTCCCACTGAAAAACATAAATTGCTCTGACAAATCACACTTGAGCCGGGGAAGCATTTATCTGCCAGTGTGCAGCTAAACATGCTGCTTGTGATATGGATACCACATCAAGACTTCAAAAATGTAAGCAACCAGAGATTAAATGGCAGAGTTTCACAGATGCAGCGGCAGCAGCAGCAGCAGCTTTGAGCCTTTGAATTGAAAGTAATTATGCAGTAAAAAAAAAAAAAAAAAAAAACGATGAAAATGTCACATATCTTGCTGTTTACATTCTTTCAGGGAGTTGTTGTGAAGGAGCTGTCATTTGCGAGGGCTAGAAAAGTGGCAGTGGTGCAGCACAATAGGAGGAAGCTGACTTTTATAAAGAAGATTAAGATGTGCTGAGAGCTTACTGTTCCTGTGTCAAGAAGGTCTCGCTGTGCCTAGCCTTCCACACTGTTCCCCTGACTAAGTCTGGTGCACATAAAGAGATTTTTACAGTCAACAGACGCTGAAAATGTGAAACCTCCTGATGACACGTAATGGTCGATTTAACAGTGTTGTACATACAGTGTGTAGAGTGCAGCCATATGACCAACATAGCACACCACACATTGACATATTCCGTTCCCTCGTCATCTCAAAACTCAACTTTGAATTGATTGCTTGGTGAGGTTTGAAGTGTTCGCTCCCTTGTACATGGGTTTCTATAGATCCGAGATTTGTCTTCAGGGTCTGCTCTGTACACAAAGTCGCCCAACAAGGACTCAACGGACTGGCAACCGGTTTTGGAAGATGACTCACTTTTGTTGTTGGTACTGGACATGTTGAAGCAGAGGCATTGCTTTTCTTTCAATGGAAGCAAAGGCACTGTGCGAATGTAAATAACTTACTGCAATCATTCTCTTGAGTTGTAAAGCTCCGTTTGAGTTACCTCAGAAGTCAGATGTTGGAGCTGAAAATGACGTCACACCCAAGTTACCAGCGTTTCAGTTACCAAGTCAGAACAAAGGCAAAATCGGAGGTGGAAACAAGATGGCTACATCTATGAAAGGTATTTTAGTGCTTGCCTTGTCCTTGTTATACTCAGATATATATTCCTTGTTCTCTGCTAAATTTGCATGACACTGTGTCGCCTCTTTTGCAAGATCAGATCGTCAGTTTTGAAAGATCAGTGGTTTTGCATCAGGATGGGTTTTATGGACAAGAGCAGAGTCCCCCTGACACTCAGAGAGCAGTTACCGTTCACCAGCACAGGGTGTGGAGTGTTTTTTTAGAAGATGACTCACTATTGTGATTGGTAGTGGACATGTTGAAACAGAGGCATTGCTTTTCTCTCACGCAATTGAAGAATTGACGCCTGGCATGCTAGAAAATGCTGTTTTCTCAGTCACTTTTTTATGTTTTACTCTTTAGAATAAAAAGTGTTGATTTCTTACACTATCCAGCACTGGTAAATATGGTAAAAACCTTGGAAATATGAACTTTGTAGTTGATTTCTCCAAAAGAATAAGCAGCCAGAGCGAATCAGCCAAGTGTGTCCAGCTCATTGTGCCCAACACTATATATATAAGGGTGGTTTTACGCAACTCTGTGATGCAAACGCCATTCAGACAACTATGTTTCCACTTCTGCAGAATTTCAGCCAAATTTTGCCACACCAGTGTATGTTGTTGAGCTGATGGTTACCATATTAAACAAAAGCAAAACATCAGGCAAGGGATTCTATGAATAAAGTAGCTAAAGCATCTCCATCCACTGCAAGTAGAATTTTTACCAAACTAATAAAGAGAAGCAGAGCACCACTCAGAACAAATACATCCAGCCACGTGCCCACTCGTACAGACAGCAGACACAAAAAGCAGAGATGTGGTAACCAGGCAGCAGCCCTCTCTGTTCTCCCAGTAGGTTTCTACATTAATGCGGTCTGAGCCGAGGCAAGAGAAGAAACTGTAAAAATCCCCTGCCAGGAAGCAAGAATAGATAAATAGTGAGTTTGGATTTGAAGGCTTCCGCAAGAATTTGCTTCCCTAATCACAGGAGGGAGAGTCGATTCCTGAGATGGAAAGCTCGGCTGGAAAACACTCTCTTGCCTGCTGATTTTCTTCTTGTGCCAGATATGTAAGCTGCAGACTAAAATCTGAGGGCACACGAGGATACAAAAGGAACAATGAGGTCAGATAAAAGGTTGGTGTAAGCCCGTGTAATAACTTCTGTGTTAACAAAAAGCACTTTAAGGCATGTGTCGCTTGTATTTTCAGAGTCAGCCTCCGCTACATTAAACAAAAGTTGAATTTTTGCAACTGTGTAAAGACTTCTTGAATTTTTAATATGGCAGTGAAATGAGAGTACTAGCTAACGTAAGGGTGGTGTAAGAGTTTGAACATGTGACAGCACCCCGTTGGAATAGCTTATACACAACACTGTGCCATTATGTAGTGTTATATTCTATTTTTACATGAAGCTCAGTGAGGCAACTTCAAATCGACTAGTGTTCTTTGTAGAAAGGCAGAAAAACGGAGATAACTTCTACATCTGGTTTTACAGAACGTCAGTCGTTGCTTTCCAGGCTTAGATTCTTGCTTTTTGGAAAACAAAGTCAATAAGAAAAGCTGAAAATTGAGAGAAATTAGCAGTGACTATTAACTCTGTAGAAATTTTGGGCTGCTGTAAAGTAACTAGAAAAGGTATTTTTTGTAAGATGACTCGCGATTGTCATTGGTAGTGGACGTGTTGAGGCAGAAGCATTGCTTTTCTCTCAATAGAAGCTAACCGTTGTACAAATGTGAATGACAGCTGTCCATTCTCTCACTGGCATGCCTTCTTTGTTGATAATGCCCCCTTGTGGTGAGATGGAGTAATAATTTTCCATCCTCTCATCCAAAAAATGTAGTTTTTTCAGTAGCTAAACACCAAACATTGAAGCTAAAATGCGGCAATTTGTAGCTAATGATGCTAGCTCAGAAGTTTCCCCTTTTGGTAGTTGGCTAGCAAACTCAAAAGCTATTTTTTTTGTTCAAGTTTGTCAAACTTTCATAATTTCTTTATTCATGTAAATTTGATATAAAACTTTCAGACTTTTGCTCTTTGTTAGAGTAGCAGTAACAAGATAGCATGTAAGCTAGGAGTTGCTCAAAGCCAGCTGTTATGACAAGCATTCATTTGGAGCTGTGTTTAGGTACAAATTCAGAAAGATGTAATTTGTTTTTCTCCTTTTTATGATTTATCACCAAGTTCAGATAAATTAGCTTGTCAGCAACTATTGCTCTTTTTTTCACCATATAATTGTTAACTTTGTCTGAGTAGTTACAGGTTTTAAATGTTCAGTGAGTTTATACTATTTTTTTCTTCCTTTTGGTACAATAAGGCACATTAATACTCCTATGAAGAGTTTTTTGACATTCATAAAAGAGACTAAAATTCATGTTGATGCTTTAATATCCAAAAGCAAAAAAAAAAAAAAACAGCAGCAACAAGACAGACGATTTTGTAACCTGTTTTTTGCCCTGTTTCTACATTTCTCTTTCAAAGTTCAGCAGGATGAGATAGGTTGTTGTAAATCACTTTTGGAGCACAGTAGACAAGATAAGCAGAGACTGCTTTGTCCACAGGGGGCGCCAAAATCGACACAAACCAAAAGTTCTTCACAGGAGCTTTAATTCATTCAAGTTCAAGGTGTGAATAAAATGTAAACTATAGCTGCTGGAGGTTTACAGCAAACACATCCAAGTTATGCAGAATGAGCACTGATCAACATCACAGTGAAATGGCTAATGTTAGCTTCAGATGTAAAGGTAAATCTTAAATATAAAATTTATATTTGAGCGCTGTCTGTTTTCTGAGGGCACGTTCATTCATTCCTGATCCATCTGCCCCTCATGTTTATTGAATCTCCCTCTACCCTTTTTGTCTCCTTTGTCAGATTCTTGTTTTCTCTCCTCACACACCCCAAAAGTGCATCCCGGTGACTAATTTTCACCGTGTTTATTTGCGCCACGCCTTGTTTCTCTGCTCTCTGACAGCAACTGTTCCCAGTAATCATCCACATGTCAGCTACCCCTCCATTTGGCCCTAACGTTTCGCTGCAATAATTATATGTATCAGTTTCTGGGCAGAGAAATAACTACACAGCACTCTTCAGAAAATCATGACAGTGCTCCCTCCTTCCCGTAGCGGAGAGTCGGGCAGGGTTTGTGGAAGTTAACATACAGGAAACTGCTGATTTATGTGCGGAGAGGGTATCTGCTTTGTTAGTGACAGGCCTCAGATGTGTCAGCAGTGCCACAAGTGGACAGGAGCAGGGTTCTTGTGTGACAGGGAGGAATCTATCCTCAGGGATCCAGAGATTTTTGTGACATTTAATCTATTTCTATCCTCTTTGTCTTACCAAGACTATCTGTTTTGTTTTTACCTGTTTTTTTAAATAAAAAACCTCACCACTGATGATGCTTTTTCCTGAAATACACCCAAGTGTTTAACAATTTCAAACAGGTTTCTTCATTTAATGTTTTAATTAAGGTCAGATAGTCTTGTGGTGTTTTAATATCAAAAGTGAAGCAAACTTTTACCTTCTAACTATCATTGTGGCCACTTATTTTTGTAGGAGTTATTTAACAACCCTTAAATATTTACCCTTATCAACTAATGGAAGTACTCCTAAACTCTTAATTTGAAACAAACACAATGTAGTTGTGCTTAAATGAAGAGGATATGTGCTGACATTACACCCTCAAACTAATATTTATGCACCTCCTTGAAAATGTAACAACACATCGAAACGAAGCCTAAGCCTAGAACTAAAGCGCCTAGAACTAAAGCCCGCAATTATTTAGTTCTTGGCAATAATTAAAGCCTAATCAACTCCTGCACAACCTTTATCAGCTCCAACTCAAATATGATATCCTTGAATTCCTGTAAGCAAACAAGAGGAAACATAGCAGGACTGGAAACTAGTTCCACCAACCAGCGTTTTAGTCAAGTAGTGCAGAGCGATGCAGACAGTCCAACGTAGAAGTATGTTGTGTTCGTGAAGACGTCTGCTCCTGCAGGCGCAGGTCCGATGAATATTGCTCCTTTTAAGATATCATGTGGTCCATAGCTATTACCTCTCCACGCAGTAAAGATGTTGACTCATATGCTGCGTCCCAGTTGCCTCAGAAATCGGATGTCGAAGCTAAGCATGACGTTTCACCCAAGTTGGCGGCGATGGCGTTCCAGTGAACAAGTTGGAAAAACCAAGATGGATGCCTACAGTTAGCCGTTGCCAGTTGTCGTTAGCTGTTGTCAGCGGTTGTTAGTTGTTGTTAGCTATACCAGTTGTAAACAACAAATAACACAGTATTTTACTCTTACAAACACCATAGCACCGTGTTCACAGTTAGACGTTGGTCAGTACAACATAAACCACTTATTTAATTTCACAAAAACAAAACAGAAGTGCTGATAAATAAAACATTTGGACTTTCTCTTGAGGTTGTCCGACCAAATAAAAATTAAAAAGACACAAAAGATACAAACATAGAAAAGTGAGATCATGAGCATTGTCATGCTATGAGAAGGTTTCAGTATCAAACTTACCCGCTATGGTTTTCATAAAGAGCAGAGCCGGATAGTACATGATTTTTGCAGGTCATATATTAACACAGTAAGGTTCCTCTTCACTAGATTGAACGCTCAGTCTGCTGAAAAACTAAATATTTTTTCAAAGTTAGACTGACGTCGATAAAGTTTAGTCTGCGTATCCATTTCTGAGTGAATTCGCTTCTTTATTCTGCGAGTTAAGACGACTCAAAGGTAGCGAGTAAATCAGGTCATCAGAAGAAACGTCAGTCAGTGTGGAGTGACTTCCTCCTCATCCTTCTCCACATGCTGTACGTTGTGACAGGAACATTTTTCACTTCTCTTTTGAGTCAGTGAGCCCAAATAACAGCTGCTCCAATGTGCAGTCTCTGATATGAAAACAATCAATTTGGCTACAATGAAATAAAAATAAAAGGGAAGTTTGAAGAAAAGCTAATGCGCTGTGATAGATTACCCAGCTCAGGAAGTTTCAAAGCTGTGGTAGAAGCAGCATGAAAAAGCATCGAGCCATTCCTTCTGAAGGAAAGAAAACAAACTCTGATTTTCTTCCAACAAGGCTGACAGCACGAAGAAAAACTCGAAACAAAGACAACTTGAAAAGCATCAATATTATCCTTGTTATCCTTACGCGGCAATGCGAGTGATTGGCACAACCGAGCAGCAGAGCAACCCTCATTTTCACTAACCGGAGAGCTAAAAAACACGATTTTGTCTCATGTTGGCTCTAATACAAAGCCAATAAGGATGTATCGCACCTTGTCGTCACCCTGTGTGTCAAAAGAAATACACGCAGGCAAAGTATATACAGCACACACGCAGAATTCGAGCTCATTTCATGGCAGAGCAGAGGCCCATCTGTGCGGCTCAGCCGGCTGCTGCCGAGGTGAGCAGCGGCAGGATGGATGGCGGAGCGAGGGGCCGAAACGTTCGCATTGTGCTCCATTGAAGGAGGAATTGATTATGTTCACTTGGATGGCTTCTCGCTGGAGCGCTCGTAGACGTCTGATGGAACTGGGCGATAGGGATGAGCTGGCACTGAAGAGGTTTGTAAGGGGAGGATAGAGAGGGTGCTCGAGGGACAGATGGGTGCAGATTGATAGATAGATATGATTGATGAAGTCTAAATTATGTCTTTCTAGTGTCTATCTACTTACAGTACTTCGGGGTGTTTTATTATAGGGTCTTGTAAAACTTTTTCCCATGAATACTTGAGAAGTTAAGACCTGCAAACTCCACAATCACCAAACATTTCTTCTTTTTTCTGTTCCTAAATGTTAACTCAGTCAACTCACTTTGGATTAGCATTTTTTATACCAAAATCAAGCCATTATTTAAAGCTCTTGTGGGAAGTTTTTTGACATCTATTACTCAGATTTAAATTCACACTGATGTTTTTTTAAGACATCCAAAAGCAACCGAGACCGTCAGAAACGTGATTGATGATTTGTATAATGTTAATTTTAGTGGTTGAAATTGGGTGCTGGGAAAACTGAAAAAGTTTCCAGAAGCTTTAATTAAAGTGAAAATGTTGTTTTATTGTTGTTTTTAACCCTGTTGCTACTTTCTGTATTTACTAATAATTAAGAATTAATTAAGAATAAAACGAATATTGGAATATATCGGCCGGCTTCTAAAATCTCCGATATCAGCGCTCCGATACAAGCAGTCCATTCAAGACTCCACTTTGGCACCTCTGGCTAGCAGCGCCAGGATTCAGAATGTAGAGTACGACACAACAGTGTGTACTAAGGAACTAACAATGTGGCAAGGAGTGTGAGTGATGTCACCAGTGTGGCAGTAATTTTTGTTAAACTCTAAACTTAAACTTAAAAAAACGTTGCAACTGAGTGCAAAACTTATCATACACAATTTTGTGCCAATATCGGATCAATATCCCTATCAGCCAACACTGAAGGCTACAATATCGGTATCGTATCGGAAGTCAAGAAGTTGTATTGGGACACCCCAACTTATAATGCCTCATTGGTTGCTCTGGCTAGAGTTACCATGTTCCTGATTGGCTAGCCTCTCAGACGTGGATACAGACCCAAAGTCTTCAGGTGTGTTATTAGCAGATAAGTCTGTTTAACTCCGTCAAGATCTTGGAGGTTTGAAGGTCAATGCATATGAATTCAAATTTTACCAATAACCAAACCATTTAGTATGAGCATATATACCAGTAACCAGAAATCCAACCATAAAGAATTCAGGTCCTAGACCAGACCTTCTCTATGCTGCGAACTATAACTGATTTTATCACGTAGCGTTCACATATGACACAGCCCTACTTTTTTACATTTATTTCAAGGAAAATACACATCCTATAATTGGATCTATATGTAACTAATCATTTTCTTGAAACACATTTTGATTTACCTGCAAACGTTAATCCTGATAAGCCCTGTCTCTACAACATAAACCAGGTTTTTCTCTCACTTCCTCCTCTGGCTTTTAAGGCTGAACAAACTCTTAACCGCTGACTTAAACTATCCAGAATTGATCTGCTTTTTTTCCTTCATTACACCTCACCAAGACTATAATTCTTATCTGTCATGAAATCCAATCTGTTTTATTTGTCTGAAAGGTTGAAATCAGGGGTTTAAAATGTCAGTAATCTTAGGAAAACAAGCCCCACTAGCTCAAAACTTAATTTTCAGGTCTTAAACTGCACCTTTTTGTGGAAGTTTTGTATTCAGACCTTCATACTCTAACCTTGTGTTTTTAAGTCAGAAGATTCAGAGCAGAAATTGTGAATTTAGCTGTCTAGAAACAAGCGTTTCAGTCAAGCACAGCAATCAAACATTATCTCTCAAGCTGAAGGTTCTTTCTGTTCGATTATTTTCAATACGCTCTCTTTCTTGAATAATATTCAGAGCGTTCTCTGTCACTTAACTTTTCGCTGGTGCATCGACCCATTTTTCCCGACAGGGATCATTAAAGTTTCATCTAATCTTAATAAATTGTTGCTCCTAATAGAAAGATGGGATTGTGGATAGAAAAATGGAGCAACTACTCACAAAACGTCTGCAGAGAATCCTTGAACTGGAGTCAGGAAGCTCCCTTGTCTACAGGCTGTGCATAGTGAATGGAGAATGGATTTCTATCTCTGACTTTATCCTTTCTACTGTCTGCTTTTTGTGCCGTTTGATTGAAGGTAGCATAGTTTCGGGGGCTGAAAGAAAGAGACGGCTGCCGCTGTGTCACACAGACTTCTCTACTCCCAGCGCGATCGTAGAGCGAAAGAAGAGTTTTAATAAACATACTGGGAGAGATGAAGAAGGTGCAGCTCCCTTTTTTCTTCTTTTCATTTTTACTTTTATCCATCTGTCAGCACCTCCTTTAACCTCAGCATGGGCGAGAGTCTGCTCTAACAAGAAAAAATACCATTTCTTAGAAATGCCACACATGCTGTACTATCAAAAACTATCTATCAACTTTTTCTGTTTTTTACAATCTCTGCTAAAAAAAAAAAAAAAATGTTTCCAAAATGGGTTATCTGTATTTCAGCCAGTGCGACTTTAACAACCTCCTGATGAAGGAGACTTATCTGTCTCTGACAAGGCTCTAACGACTGTGTGGACACCTGTCTGACAGTCTATGTCCAGAGGAGCAGGGCTGAATGTGAGGCTTAGAAGAGGACAAAGAGGGTCAGCGCGCGTGACAAAAAGCAATGGAGCAGAGCCTGTCTGCTGACAATGGAGAGAAGAGCCTGTAGACACCTGTGGGATCATCACCTCTCTTCATGGTTTTTCTCCACGTTAGTTTGATTTTTAACATCTGCACCGATGTTACTGCAAATCCTCAACAAGCCACAGAGCCGTGCGTGACGCTATACCATCAATCTAGATTACGACTTGCACTATCGGGGTGTCTTGTCCTGTGTAACAGTTTCCACAGAGTCCACAATGTGCAGTTTCCGTGCAGCTGTGAAGCCATTTCTCTTAGCAGCTATTTGAGGTACTGAGCTAAGCTTTTAGTTACTTTAACAGATGTGAGGTACAGACCTATTGACGATAATTCTCAATCAAAACAGTTTATTTACTAAAAAGTATTCCACCATTTTCTGTAAGTGTACGATTTTGACTGAACAAGAGAGAAAAGTTAACGAAAGTCATGCGGCCAGGCTTCAGTTTCATCTTTTTTCCGTCTTTTCCTCATCTATTAAGGTTTTGTCTACTACCTGGTTTCCTAGCAACGCATCCATGCTATTCAACTTGTTCATTAATGCTGCGTTCCAGTTGTACTCGGAGGTCAGAATTTCCAAGCGTCGTCAAAAATTTATCTGGAACGCCCCCATAAAGTTGGATTTCCAACTCAGAAAGTCAGACAATCTTAACCAACCCGGACTTGACGACAACGTCATAATCCAAGATGGCAGCACAGTGCATCGACAGTAAAGAGGAACAGTGAAAGCTCTTGTAATGTTTTATTTATTAGCACTTCTGTTTTGTTTTTGTGAAATTTAAAAAAGTGGTGTATGTAAGAGTAAAATACTGTGTTATGCGTTGTTTACAACTGGTATAGCTAACAACACCCAACGACCGCTAACAACAACTGACAATGGCTAACGACAGCTGACAATTGTAAACAACAGCTAACAACGGCTATCAGTAGGCGTCCATCTTGGTTTTCCGACTTGTTTACTGGAACGCCGTCAACTCAGGTGTAGCGTCATTCCCAGCTCCGACTTTCGAGGTAAGTGGAACGCAGCAAAAAGCCTTGCGTTTGGTACATTAGTCCAACAGTGAGATGTTTTGCTCTTCTAAAATTGGAGGAAACATCATCACGACTCTGGAGGTGTATCCTCGTAAAATAATAAAAACTCATAAACAAACGAAGACGTGAATCTGCATCTTAAAAAACCCTGCTGGCAGAGCTCTGTGAAGGTGTTTCTCTCCACTTGATTCATGTCACCTGTCTCAGCCTGAAGCGCTGAAAAAACAGGAGATGACAAGGTCTACAGACGCTGTTATTTGCTGATCCAGGGAGCAAATGTAATAAAGCTGATAATTTTCTGGAGACTTTGCACAGCTCAGTGCTTGGAAACAGAGCTGAAACAACACGGTTCACGTGTGTGTGTGTGTGTGTGTCTCGCAGCCTCAGCTTTATTGCTTCTTTGTCTTTGATCGCAGTATAACAAATATACACTTTCTATGTGCTCTGTGTATTTGAGATTTAATTCAAGAGTATCTTTATTCTGAGCTTCCAATTCAAACAAGAGCTGGAAGTAATAAAGGCAGAGGACCCGGACAACTTCAGCCTGCTGCAGGTCGTGGTGTTGAGAAGTCATTTCTGTCAGAGGAGGTAGCTGGACAGTTATTTTATTTATTTAGCTTTGAAGCTTCCCGAAAATTGGTGTCCATTTTTCTAAACAGCGGGTTCTATGTCAATATGATAAATTTGAAATGATGTTAAAGAGCGAGTTGACTGATTAACCACAGACTATCTGACCTCCTTACCTTCACTTTGACTGCGCTCTCCTGGTTTCAGTCCAATCTTTCAAATTGAAAACAGTCTGTCACCTTCACAAACTCCCACTCCCCCTCACCGGTCCCAGTCAACCGTGGTGTTCCTCAAGGCTCTGTCCTTGGACCTCTCTCCTTTATTATCTACCTGCTCTCTTTAGGACAGACTATTCCCTAACACAATCTCAAATTCCACTCTTTCGATGACACAAAACCATTCACTACACTCCACCCCCTTCACATAAAACTCAACAACAATCAAACTGAGCTCACGGTTGTGGCCCCAGGGCATCTTCTTTAGGGGTATAGATTTGTGCACCATCCACCCATCCTCCAAGGTCTGCACTAGGGCCGGATGATATGGCCTCAAATCAATATCACGATATATATTGAACAGTTCACCTCGATAACGATAAATGGACGATAACTACTCCACAAGCTGTTCACCCCTTCCCACATAAACTTCGTCTACTTCAGCCGCCACTCACACTTTTGGACCGTCCTCCATCTCCTCACCTTTCTTTCCCTCTTTGTTATGGACTGGATGAGGTGGAGTCAAGTCTCTGATGTAGGACAGCATCTTAAAGAGACATGAGACCATAGCCTACCTACACTCATCCAGAACCAACTTTTATGGATATCTTTTTTTGACACCGAATATATTGACATGACTTCGCTATTGTCGTAAATTTCAGTATCAGTAAATTTTTGATTTATCGCCCAAATGCACCTTGGTGTCATCATGGACTCAACCCTCTCTTCTTTCACGTCAAGTTGAGCCTCCTTTCTTGTGTTTCTTTATTACCCATCACCTTTCATCATTTATATTGTCTATAACTCTATTTTCCCTTTTTCCCAAAGTATATTGAAGATGATTTGCATACTGGTAAAAAGCACAATATCAATGTCGACACACGGAGCAGCTCTGACTGCAAATATTCACACACAGTATAAAAGCAGCTGTAAATAGAGTCCCTCTTTCTGCAGCACATGTATGATCTGTTGTCTGTCTACTGTATGTCTATTTCCCTTCCCACACACACTTTTCTTTTCCTCCTGAGCCAGAGAGAGAGAAACCCAGCCCTCCTGAGTAAATTCTTGTTGTCAGGTGTAAGCTGGCTGTAATAAATCCAGCCGGTCCATGCTTGGGTGGGAGGAAAAGGGGAGCCAGGAGGTAATTTGTGGCCAAAAAATGGGACATTTTTCCCAGCCGCTCATAAACCAAGATGCCCAGCACTGGCACACTAATCCGTGGACCGCCGAACTCTCCTCTCGCCCAGCCGACGGGTTGACATCGCCTTCGATCATGTGTAAACCATTGCGAAAGCAAGCGCCGTCATTTATTTCCCATGATCCCGTGGGAGGCTGGAGGAAGGGAGGGCAGAGATGCAAAGGCGGGATCACGCAGAATATTATGACCTTCTTCTCACACCTCGTCTTTCTTCTGTGTTTGAAAGGTGAACGGGGGCACGCACAGGTTTATGTTGTGTGTTTTTGTGAGTGTGTGTGTGTGTACGTGTGACAGAAAAGCTTTCATTATGGGCAGTGTGTGGGAGGGATGTCAGGTGAGAAGGCAGGCTGGGATGTTTTTCCTCGTGTATTCTGAACCCATTCACAAACAACCGAATATTTAAGTCAAAGCAGCTGAAATGAACGCCTTCAAAATAAGAGTCTCTTTAAAAACACGCCCTTGATCCTCTTTAGAGAAGATTCACTTTCATACAAACACTCACAGAAAGAGTAATGCAAACCAAGTGAAATAATGACAATAACAAGAGATAGTACACAACACTGTTTACAGAGGGCCTGATCTACTAAAGGTTTGGGTGTGCAAAAACACGTGCAAACTTAATAGCGCACGCAATCCTGATCTACTAACCGGGTGCACCGAGGTTTGCGTCTGTCAAATGAGCAAAACAGCGCACGCAATCGATTTAGCATGTTTGTCTTCATGAATCTTCAGATCATCTGAACGCACAAAATTCTGGGAGGAGCAGATGCAAATGGAATAACTTAGCACCCGCAATGTGATTTATCAAACATGGAAACTGATTGCGATCGCTGTTTTGCATCTGTATTTAGCACCTTTGAAAGCAACGTGCATACTGGATCAACGTTACGCACAGTCATTGTGGGGAGAAGGAGGCAGAAGTGCCATGATGCACGCCAAGATACTTGTCCAAAAATGGGTGAATGACAATTTTTGTAAATAATAAGGTCAAACACGGAAAAGACGAAAAAAATCATCTGTTTGTCTTATTGATTTTAAATCGTTTTAATCGCTTATTCGATTTCAAGTATATCTTCTTGCATCTGTAAAGCACTTTGAATTATCTTGTGTATGAATTGTATTATACAAATAAACTTGCCTTGCCTTTTATGCGGTTCCCCAAAACTATATGTACAACTCCATGACTTCAAACACTCTGCTCTCACAAACTCTCTATGGGAACGGCAACACAAAATCCTCACTTAAAGTGGGCGGTCCGCACCACTTTTGCACCTGTTATCAATTGCGCACTCAATGATAGTAGATCAGGCCCTTAGATACTTTAAGTAGGTTTTCAAAGCAGCGATGTGTAGTATTAGGTAATACAGCACAGGTTAGAAAAGACACACCACATTATTCGCATGACTTATTGTTATATAAGATCATAAATAAGCATATTAATATATATTATTTGCACAGTATTTGATTAAACATCATAGACGTTAGGTAATCAGAGTGTTATTATAACTATTTCCTTACCTTTACTTTACAAATTTCTCCTTGGGGATAAATGAAGTTCTCCTTATCTTATCTCACTGGCTGCAGATTTAGGGTGACTGTCAAAACTCTTATATTCATATGAAGTTGTTGACGTTGCAGGTTGCAAAGTCTGTCGTTTTGGATTACTCCAGCGAGATCACATCTTTGTTTTTATACTCTGAATGACTCGTGACCTAATAAGAGAGTGCACTCAGTGATTCTGTGTCTGAGTGAAAGCATGCGCACATGCAGAGTTAGCATGTTTATGTATGCATGCTGCATCTGCACCAAAGTTAAAGGCTACGAATACAAACATCCTGTGCAGAGGTTCTTTGTATGTAGACATATGCACCTCTTTGGTCACTGCTATTACCACCTAATAGCTTGCTGGCTGTGGATTTATAGTCATGTGCTCCTCTGTCTGTGCAGCCTGTCCCTTCATGGATCAATGCATCAAAGCCTGCTGCTTTGAATACCAAACAAGGCTTTGGCTTGCACCTCCAGCGCCGCTGTGCCGAGCAGATTGCACATGGTCACTCTCGCACAGAAATGCCTTCTTCCTCAGCCCCCCCTGAGCAGCCCGAGAAGCACTGTGGTGCTGTTTAATAGCAGCCCCAGCCGTCCTCTCCTGGCGCAGCAAGCAGCAGCGCTTCCCGCGCTCCCACATGCAAAATTTATGACTGCAGCGAAAAACACAAAAGAAGAAGAGCGGGGATCCAGTTCTGTCTCGCAGAGCAGATATAGGTTTTCAAATCCCACACTCCTATACCCCGAGACATCGTACAGCTGTGTCACAGAGGCGGGAGGAGAGAGAGGGAAAAGATTAAAGTGTGCCTGTCTAGCACGAGTCTATTTTCATCCCACTCTACAGAGTATGAGAGTTTCTTTCTTATTACAGTTAGAGGAGAGAGCTCACTCCTGAGCACAACTGGGCTGCCTGTGAAACCCCAAAAGGCTGCGGGATTGTGGTACCTGTGGGTACAGGGGGGGAGGTGGGGCCTTTTTTTTCTGAAGCTGCATGTTCTTCGCATGGAGGAAATCTGAATATTACCTCCTCTTCTTTTTTTTTTAATCCTGCATTCACATCATCAGCACACAAAGACTTAATGTTAAGAAGCATGAAAGAAACACAGAAACGACGACTTCACAAGGAAAACCTCTGATTTCAAACAACAATCAGAGGTTTTAGGGTAAAAGACGAACAAACGCGGAGGACGATCAAAGTCCTCCATCCTGGCGTGTGAGAGAGGGCGGCTTATACACCACCTGGCGAGGAGCAGATTTGTGTTAATGTTGCTGAGGTCCTGTCAGGAGCAGGAATACAGTGGTATTGACACCAAACGCTTGAGGATTAGTTAGACAAATTATAAGTTACGATAAAGCGTAACTCAGGCCCAATCTGCTCCTCTAACCTATAATTGAAGATGCCGAATTGGTCTTCGAAAACATAAACTTTAAACAATTTAAAAGAACTTTAAACTTTATAGTCACAGTGCGGTCTGACAGATGTTCAGGAATTTTCCTTTATGATGCATTTACATATGAAAATATATCTGGCTATCGTCACAATAAAAACAGACCATCAGAAACTGTGTTTGTCGTAGCCATTCAGAAACTTTGATGGTTTATTATGAGCATTCAACATTGATTTAAAGGAAGGGTAGGCAGGATCTGAGGAAGTGCCAGTTTGGGGGAGAAATCTTGGATGTAAACTTTACCCCTCCCAATGAGTTTTCTCCTTAGCTCCTCCTCTGCTCCAGCAAGCCCTACCCACAAATGGACGCTTCTGCTCGCTCGTATCGTTCCAATTAAATTCTGATATAATGCAGATAAATACTTCAGATAATCACAAATGGGGCCCAGTCGACGTGAAAGTAAAAAGCATTGGTGCTACTGTAGATGCCAACAGACGACCAGCAAACACAATGTTTGCAGGACTTCTACAACTAGCATAAAGTGACAAAGTCCAGGACCCGAGGTAAACAGTTTAGCGGCGCTACAAGAAACACTTCTGTTACAGACACTTGGCTTACTTTGTTAAAGTGGTTTACCTGTCCAGTCTACCTCCGTTTTAAGCGCCCGTTATTCCTCCAGAGTCTCCGGTATTTAGTTCGTTTTGTTGCTTGTGTTGTCAGTCATGGCTAAAGGAGGATTCAGACAGTTTTCTGTACTTTCTGGTTGGTTTCTACTGTCCGATATTGTAGCACGCTAACTTTGTTTGGGCTCCTGAACGACACTGGGGAGAAGCGTCTACCTCACAACCAATCAGGATAGGGGAGGCGGGGAATGGCTTTGTTTACAGTCAGAAAGAGCGAAATTCTGAAATTTAAAATGTTGACTACACAGGCATAACAAAACACAGCGATATCATAATATTCCCAAATGTCATCAATAACTAATAGCTATTGACTGATATTAAAAGTTTTTTTGTTTATACACCACCAAAAAAGATGCCTCTTGAACGGATTCCTGCCTACCCCACCTTTAAAGACCATGACCTGACTTTACTCAAATTTAACTACTTCATAGGACCCTCAAGACTTGATAAGCTCAAACGTTCTTGAAAAAGCTAAATCAAGTATTAAACGGACGCCATCATCCCTCCCTTGGTCTCCACCAGCAGTTGAGACCCCCTGAATCCCCTGTTATTCATCAAATAAAAACAAACTGCACTTACATCATCCACTGGACATGTTTGCTGAGGTGCAAACATGATCTAATGCTAATCTTCTCTATATCACACCCTGCATGGCTCTTATTGGCTCAGTCGCACTTCCACATGCAGCTGTTACAAATGCCCTCTGGAGAAGGGAAATGAACGGGTCCAGACTCATTCGCCAAGGTGGTCTGGTCTGGCGACCCAGGGCTATAAAAAAGTAATAGCCGTGCAATAAAAAAAAATTACCATCACTAATATACACATTTAGTGTATTAAATATTTCATTGTACGTTAAACACAAACATATAAAAAGAAATGCCGGTTTAAATCTGGGTGTAAATCCTCTGGGCTCTTATCTTATGAGCTGCAGGCTCCATCTCGCCGTTATTACATGCATGAACACACAACCGCAAACAGGAAGACCTGTCCTTTCTCCAAGTTTTTCCCCAAATCTATTAATTACCGTCATCTGTGACGTTCCCTCTTCTGCTTTAAATGCATCCACACACAAAAAAAAACATCTTCATAGTTTTTGGCAGGCTCCCTAAAATGTCCATTAATCTTAATTCCAGAGTTATTCGAGTCTCGCTTTCCCTCTCCGAGTGATAGTTCGCATTTCCACTGGCGGGGAAAATAGCTTTTTAAGATTGCCATGATGTGGCAACAAATCACATTGTGACATCACAGAAAAGGGGTCAAAATCAATCAGCCGCCCAGTGGCCTTTGACATTCAATAAACGTCAGCTGGTATTTATATGCGTCCCTTTAACCGCTGGCTAAAATAACAGGCCGCAGATGACAAAATATGATAACAATTAGACAGAGCGGCGGCGTGAAGGCCCCTCACATCTGCATGGATCACTGGCTGAATCACAGGCATGGTGGGAAATAGAAAGAAACAGAGCGCAGACAGCGAGGAAGAGGAGGGAGATGGAGAGAGAGAGAGAGGAATCATCACGTTAATGTGGTCATTTACCAGAAAGCATCGCTCGGCCCACACAAACCCAAATGCCACCATCTAAATCCAGCCTTAATTAGGCCCCGCGCTGAACGGAGCAGACAGGAGGCTGAGGGGACTAACAATATCGGTTGTTTACAATAACATCAAGCGCCTTGTTATGGCGAATGTGTGACAGGGTGATAAGGTCACACATGGGACTCCATTATAGCAAAGTAGATTCAGCTTTATCTGGTAGAATTGATCCCGCCAACCTTCAGCTTGTCTGTATTTTTTCCACAAGGGGAAGCTTAAAGGTGTTTCGTAAATCCTCATTTAAAATCCATTGTCAATTCGCGAATCGATGCCGCGTCGCTTATTGGAAGACAGCTTCGTATAAGGGAAGAAATATGACGAGAACTCTCATAAGCTCGGTTTGGTTAAGGAGTCTGCATCAAGATATCGTGCATAATTCATGTCCCAGTTAGTGGGAACTGCAACGACATTAAAGACAACAGCTAGTACACTGTGTATGTGCCGGTAGCAGATAATGGCCGGTGTCCGGTCTGTCTGACTCCATTCATATTCAGTTTTGCACACACGCCCTTCCACAGGTGCAGAAATAACAACCCCATGAATGTCTTAATGGGCATTTTCAGCGCTCTCTGCCTGCTCTTCTTCCCCCTCGCTTTTGATTGATTGTTTTAATTTAAAAATAACCCCAGTTATCTATTTATTTTTGGCTTATTTATTTCACTGAAAGGGCTGCTGCCAGGTCGCCCAATTCCAATTTCCAGAGTTGCTCGCCACCAAAAAATGCAGAATGAGTCTAATAATGGCCTTTCGCTCTATCAGACTCACCCCTCCCTCTCCTGACATTCTTTTTTTTTTTTTTTTATACCTTTGGCTTCTGCAGCCAGTCAGTCATTGTATTCTTCAGAGCGAGGAGATAGGTCAAATAGACAGACGTTTGGCATTTCATGTGAAGAAATGTGCTGAAGTCCAAAGATTAAGTTGGCCATTCAACTGTCTACATTTGGATGGAGGAATGTATTCAGCTGTACAAATGCAAGGTATCAGGTCACTGCTTCTCCCAGGTTTTTTTAATAGGAATGTATAATGTGGACAAACCTAAAATTTGACATTAAAGCAGCTCAAATCAGAAAGTTCAGCTTCAGATTCAGCTCACTCCTCGTCCATATTCAGGCTTTTAAACACAGCTCCTAGAGTCACACACAGAGGCACAGTGTACTATTTATCATCTGATGCTTTCAACAAATAGAGCTCAGAGCAGCAGCTTTGGATGGCGTGGCGGTTGAAGTTAGCTCCCGTTGGCGGCCAGATGCAAAACGGATTTAAAAAACAAGAATAGCTTTTCACACATAAGAGCCAAAAGTCAGTGTATGTCCTTCAAAAATTTAACCGTGCAACTCCATTCAAATGAGCTTGTTAGAGCCCAATATTTAACAATGATCTAATATGTAATGATGACCCAAGATGTAACTATGACCTGATGTGTAACAATGACCCGAAATGTAACAGTGGCCCAAAGTGTGGGAATGACTTGAAATGTAACAATGACGATAAATGTTAGTATAAACTGAAATGTAACATTGACCCACAATGTAACAATGACCCGAAATGTAACATCGATCCAATATTTAACAGTAACCGGAAGTGTGGCAATGACTTGGTATGTAACAATGACCTGATATGTAACAATGACCACAAATGTAACAACAATCCGAAATGTAACAATGACCTGATATGTAACAATGACCACAAATGTAACAACGATTCCGATATTTAACAATGACCCGAAATGTAACAATGACCTAATATGAAACAATTACCCGAAATGTAACATCGATCCAATATGTAACAGTAACCAGAAGTGTAGCAATGACTTGGAATGTAACAGTGACCTGATATGTAACAATGACCCCAAATGTAACAACAATCCGAAATGTAACAATGACCAGAACTTTAACAACAATCCGAAATGTAACAATGACCAGAACTTTAACGACGATCCAAAATGTAACAATGACCCAAAGTGTGCCAATGACCCGAAATGTAACAATGACCCGAAATGTAACATGACCAGAAATGTAGCTCTTTCCTGAAATGTATCAGTGTCCCAAGATGTAACAATGACCCGAAATGTAACAACCCTCTGATTTGTTACATTTACCGTGTGTAAAGTGTGATAATGACTTGAAGTGTAACTGTGACCCGAAATGTATCAATGAGCCAAAATATAACAATGACCCGATATGTAACAATGAGCCAAAATGTAATAATTAGTTGTTAATGTAGCAAGATGCTGAGCCCAACGTAATTACTCTTCCCCAAAATGTAGCAACTTGTTACATTTTGAGTCAGTTGCATTTTGGGTTTTATTACATTTTTTTGTAACATTTTAGGCTTAACACTTTGTTACATTATTGACAAATTATCACATTTCAAGCTTTTTTACATCTATTCTTTTAACATTTCAGGTCATTGTTACATTTCAGGTCATTGATACATATCGGGCTCTAACAAAGCTATTTACGTATAGCACTGAAGCTCAACAAATTTTGCAGCTAACCGGTTATAAACGCTAAGAATTTAGCTGAACTTTGCTAAAGCTGTTTGTTTAGCTTCTGCTGCCTTTGTGTGGGTTTAAGAAAAGTTATCAAAGCGCATTTCACCTGGATTTTGACGGTTCGTTCACCTAAATCTCTGCAGCTCTCTTGGCATGAAATCTTTTCTAATAAGTTTGGTCATAAACTGGTTTTCTCAATTTGTACAAATTCATAAAGCCGTGACATTTAAATCTGTTTCAAAGCACTTCTTACCGTCTTGCAGCGTTATATATAATCTACTGTATGTGGAAAGCTGTACCTCTGATTTTTCCCTGCCCTGCAATTATTACCACCCGGCCAGCTAAATAGTCTCAGGGACCTTAAGAAATGTAATTTCCAGGAGACGCCCCAAGAGTCCCAGCTAGCTTGTGGGAATTGGTAAACACAGAGAACAAGCTGAGTCCCCTGAGGCCCTGCAGTGCCTAAGAGAAAGGGTAAGTGAGTGTGGATAACACCGCTATCAAACACTGAGGCAGCACGGCAGGCCAGAAAGGGACTTAAACTCATTACAGTTTGGGAAGGCTGGGCCCACATGGCGGGTTATAGTTATCCACTTATCGCTGAGAAAATTTCACATTGGGTGCTTTCAGCGTTAACTGTAATCCTGCAGTATATTAGGGGCACTGCTTTAAACCTCACAGAGCTTGTATTAGATTGTGACGTTGTTTATCGAGGCTGGAGAGTCAAATGAAAAACAAGAATTAGTTTCAGAGTACACGGTGCATTTCCAGTTAAGCTGTGATACTTCATTTATTTTATCTATCAAATCCATTTATCTCTTTAATAACAGATGCAGATGAAGGGGAGAAGATTAAAGGACATCTCAGTCTAAAAAGCAGGGGTGTTTAAGCCTTGAGCCAATAAGGGTGTATTAAAGGGTGCGAGTCAATATCACAGAGGTGATTTTATGTTGTGTGTACGGTGTGTATGTTTCCTCTCGCCCAATGATTTTCAATTTCCCCAGGTTCAAAGATCACAAAATAAGATTTGAAACCAATTTACAGAGTTTCCACCTGTTCTTTTACAAAATAGGTCAGAGGCACTGTGCGAGGCAAATGAAAGTAATCTGAAATCCTTTATTAAAGCAGAAATATATGGGCTAATTGGCAACTTAAAAAGACTGCAGAGGTGCTTGCATTTTAATGAACGTACAGAATACTAATTCAATGCTAATTAGAGATGAAGAAAGTTAAACCTCGCTCTGATCAGTTAGATGCTTTATATCCTAGACATCACAGCTGCAAAATTTAGTCTTACAAGGTCAGCTGGAGCTACATTCAGCATGTTGTCTGAGAAAAAAGGCAAAGGATTCATAGTCAGTAATTCTCATTATAACATCAGACAACATAAATAATATGAATCAAAGTCTAAGAGAAGGAATTTAATCAAAATGTCACATTTGATGCACCTTTTTCATCCATGAATTGCCTGTATCCTAAATACATCAGGATACATGCCAGCAGAGAAAAAGATTGTATAAATAGTTGTATAAGTTCTGCATGTTCCTGCATGTGCAAATGTGCAGTCCTGTTCACAATATTTTTTTGTAGGACGGTAGGGGAAAGTCCCGCCTCCTTTGCCTCTGATTGGCTAGAAAAGCTGGAAACGTCATCACACAGTCAAGCCAAAGGCGGGCTGTCGGGCCTGTTCATTGAACAGAACGCACTTCTGAATCACCTAACCCTAACCCTAGCCGACAGACAATGACGTTTCACAGCCATCAAGAATAACCAATCGGAGCCCAGCACTTCTAGCCAATCAGAGGTGAAGGAGGACGGGACTTCCCCCTACCATCCCACAAAAAAAAAAAAAAAATTCACATCCTGTTCAAATGAAAGTATGAAATCTTCAGTAGTGGAGGCAGCCATCTTGGTTGTTTACAAAAACATTGAATCATTACGCCTGTTTCTCATTTTTGATTTGAGGATAGGTACACTGGTAAGAGAGCTAGCCACAATGGATGCCCTTTCAGTAAGATACTGTTGGCATGATTTAGCTTAATTTTGAAAGACTCTGACCCTTCCAGCGCTTAGGACTTCGTTGAATGTAATGTAAATAGTCACATGTTCATAAATCGTCAGTGTTTAAAGTTAGCTACAAATCAGAAACTATCAACGTTCTGCTCTTAAAATCCCGTGGGACAAACCTCTGCTTCGTAAGATTTTATGTGATCTACAGATTCTTGCTCACACATGATAAACTCACATGACAACAGGCGAGCAGGACAGCAAAGGTCACAGGATGGATTTTATTTGTAAGCTGATCAGTGTATGTAATGCGCATGTTAACCTTTGGTAACACCCTTGAAATGTCAGTAATATTTAGACTTCAATGAGATTCAGCATCAACTGTAATATCACGGTGGAGAAACCCGAGATTATCATTAATGTTATTTAAAGTCCAGTTCTAGTCAGACAATCTATAACAACAAATAACACGTTTTTTTGGACATCAAGTAAACGTACAAATCCTCAAACTCTTCCTGTAAAAGTCAGAAGGACAAAAATACTGAATAAGTTCCTCCCCTGTCCCCTGTGGCAATTCCACCCTCACGGACGTACAGTATGCTTACACTGACACCGAACAAATGTAACTCAGAACCCTTGGGTCTCAGCTCATGCATTTATTTCTTCTGCGACCATTTCCTTAGAGTTTTAACTCGCTGCCGCACCTCAAATGAGATCCCTGCGGCCGTGTGTTTGAAATGAACAAGACAATGAGACCGGCGAGCGAAGGAGAGAGGGGGAAATAAAAATAACAGATCTCAGCATTTCTCACCCTTTTAATAAACATTGTCGGACAACCAGAGGCCGTCTCATAACCGAAAGGTCATGTTTGTGAACCTTCCTTCCTCCCCAGAAACGTGATCCTAATTACTCTGTGTGGAGATCGCTGATTGAATAGTTGGGGTCCAGCGTCCCGCACTCACTGTGTGCTCCAAATAAACTTCAAAGTAGGTCACCTGAGCCGGGTTGCTTCCCTCTGGACGCCAGCGCAAGAAGGCAAATTGTTCCTCGGAGGTTTTAAAAACAAAACAATCGGAGTTAAATAAGTTTAAAATGTATAATTCTTTGTGTGTTTAGACAAGTGTAGCATCTTCAGAATCACCATTTTCTCCTGTAAACCCCCTCAGATGTAATGTAGAGCAGTATAGGGCTGTGCGATAAATCAATAAAACCGGTGAATTTGCGTTGCGGTTTGTAAGATTTGCAAAAATGAAAATCTGGATTTTTTTTTTAATTCTTTTTTCTGCTGCCCCGGCTTCATTAGTTTAAGGTGAGAAAGAAAAAATTGATCAAATCACAAATCAAATACTTACAATAACTCAGAGATTTTAGCTAATATCGCCCAGCCTTTGAGCAACACTTAGCTAAGCTCACTCCACTTTCAAACAATGGGGTCCGTGTATTATCCATCCATTATTCCATTTAATCTCGCAAACGAAAAACAAAAAAACGAGTCAATATTTTGTTTATTTTTCAGTATAACAAAAAAATAAAAGATTAGTGTTTGTTTTCGTGTTTTCAGTTCAAACAGAGTATATAAAAGAGAAGGAAACAAAAACAAAATAAGAAATCTACTTTTTTGGGGGGGTTATTGATGTCCCCATTTCCCACGGTGTGTTGCTACTGTTCGCACATGCGCAACAAAGTAGCCAACAACGTGGACCAAAACCTCCAGGCCAGAGCGGTAGAGAAAGGCTAACCTGTTGTCATGGAAATAGACGCATCCTACGTATTATTCAAAGCCGCCAGGAGGGTCACGCTGAAGGAGGAAGATATGACTGCAGAAAAAATTACAACCAGAGCTCTGTTACACCGCAAGATTTTGGAGCTCGAACTGCTCCGTCGCATCTTTCATCATGGTAACTGGCACTGAGGATGGAGCCACCATGCATGTATGCTCAAAACAGGCGCACTCAAAATCAATAATTGTCGATAAGATTTATTATTTCGTTTTCATTTCCATCTCTATTATATATTCTGTTTTGAGATGAAAATATGAAAACAAACACAAATTTTTAATTTTTTGGTTACACAGAAAAACAAACAAAATATTGACTAGTTTTTTTGTTTTTCGTTTACTAGCTTGACTGGAATAATTGAATAGACGGATAATACACAGACCCAATGGTACTGCCCTCAGCTACTTCTTCACTTTTTTATTCTCTTTCTTTTTTAACTGTTTAACTGTGGCGATGTTACTTAGCAAAAACCTGTTGCTCGGCGTGTGTGCGTATTCAGGTAAAAGTGGTTCTCCTTTTTTATTAAGATGCAGTGTAGTCACCATTGTAGCTCACAAAAGCCCAGGAAGCTGCTACCAGTGCTCTTTAAAATAAAAACACCAACAAGCAAATACCTCGAACGTCCTTAGAGAGCTTCTTGAGTTAATAAAAAACAGTATGATCAGTCACTGGCGTCCTCAGAATTCCTTTCAACGCCCTGCTTGATAAATGTCAACCGCTCTTCAAGTGAACCAGGGTGAATGAACCTCGATTCGTCTCTCTGTGTTTCTCTTTCGCCTCAGAGTGATCTATGTTTTTCTTTTAGTCATGCTCTTATATTCTCATCCTTCCTCTCTTCTCTCTGGTGGACAAACTTTGTTCTTTCACGGCTGCTGCTATCCCTCTTTGTCACCAGACTCCCCCCCTTGTGCTCTCTTCATCTCTGTTTCTTCTTCTTCTTAATCTTTTCTTTGCTCTCCATCTACCACTGAGTTCATCTTTCTCTCATGCTGCTTAGTTCTTCCGCTGGGTTGTATTCATTTTTTACCCATTTATTTCGCTCAGTGTCTCCCCGCTCCTGTTTGTCATTGAGTTTAGCTCCGTATTGATGTTGTCTCAGACAGCTTCGGTATTTAGAGCTTGATTAAGGAAACACGCTGTCCCTGCTGTGATCTCTCGCTGTAGCACGTTGCACCCTGCACACTAGAAAGTCTGGAAACAACGGATTTTGCAGCAGTAAAGTTAAGGCGCATGTTTTTTTAATTGTAAAACTAATATAGTTTACTCATTGTTGTTGCTGATTTTTCCTGTAAAAATAAGAAAAAGCATCAAGTTTCACTCTTTTCCGAGTTACATTTCAAAACAAACCAGCTACTGGGCGACATCAGTTTAATTTCTGACACTTTAACTATTAACAGCTCTGTTTAATTCTGGTTTGAAGACACGTTAAAAAGATGTTTAAACTTAAAATCAATGAAGATGAAGATGCAGCTGAGAGAACAGTGAATTCAATGTCTGTCCAGGGGCGTTTCTTGGACTAAAAGACAGAGGAGGCTGAGCCCAGATCCCCCCTTTTCCCCCCGGAAGTAGACTAAAACTATTTAGGGGAAAAAATGACAAAATTGTTACTAAAACTGATGAAAAGGAAATGTGGTCTTAAGGCTAAACAAAAGCTGCCAAAATGAACACATGAGATTTTAAAATTAGAGATACTGATTCTGAACCTTTAAAGCTCCTCTAAGGAATTTTAAGTCAGCATCAATTTGCCGCAGAAGCAAAGTCCTTGATTATCTTGTACATACAGTTGAAACCAGAAAATTACATACACTATATAAAAAGGCACATAACCTTTTTTTTCTCACCGTCTAAAATTAAGTCAGATTAAACTTTTCCTGTTTTTGGTCTGTTAGGATTTCCAAAATTATTTTTATTTACTAAATGCCAGAATAATGAGAGAGAGAATTTTTTAGAGAATTTTTTATGACTTTCTCGAGAATCAAAAATTTACATACACTAAGATGACTATGCCTTTAAACAATTTTGGCAAAGTCCAGAACCTTTTGGACTTCCAGAACCAGAACCGTTTATTGTCAACATTTGAGTTAATCAGAGGCACACCTGAAACACACTGCTTCTTTGTGTAGCATCATGGGAAAAATAAAAAAAGATCTAACAAGATATCAGGAAAAGAACTGTGGTTCATCCTTGGGCGCTATTTCCAGATACCTGAAGGTGCCACTTCTATCAGTTCAAACAGTTGTACGGAAGTTTGAACACCATGGGACTTGTAAATCATGTAAATGATGAAAAGATGTAACAGTGTTAGTCATTAAAATGTTGATAAGTTCGGCATTGTTAATATTTCACCATCACCTTCATGGCTAACCGATATAAGCTCTAAATATAGTTTTGTTGGAGGTGTAGTTCATCTGTCCTGTCTAGTCTGTAACTTCTCTCTGTTTTTCACACTCGGTGACAGAAGTTTCTTTAAAGGCCATACCTCTAAAAAAAAAGTAGGTTTTCAGAGTTACAAGGGTGCAATGGATCATTTTGTGTCCTGCTCATAGTAATTCATCTTAACCTGTCTTGTACTATTAGATTGTTGCTATACCGCGCTGTAACCTGGGTTCTGTGTGGGAGACCGTTTCTTTGCCTTTGTCCTCTTCTTATACTGTTGCAACACAGAATTGTTTCCACACAACAATATTTTACAACAAAGATAAGATATTTAGACTTGCCTCAGTTGTTTTTTTTTTTGCTCAGAACTTTTGTTTTTAACAAGTAGTTTCCAGACACATCATCAGGCAAAAGTGTAGTTTTGAAGGTGGTCCCACCTTGCTGTTATGAGAATGGGCAAAATGTAATGATTTGCAGAAACGGAGATGAAAGTTTGTCTTTCAGGCAGTCTCCTTGAATGCATTGGCAGTGCTGTGCCTGGGTGTAAACACAAAGAGTAACTGGCGGTGTAGTGGAGAATAAAAAGTTTTGTATTTTTCTGTTTTTCTTTTGGAATAAAAAGAAGAGTTTGACAGAGAAGGTCAAACCTGCGCTGCAGAATGTTAAAGCGCCGCATGACATCCTCGTCTCATTGTCAGATTTAGAAAATTACTGACTGACAGACAGCCTCCAAGTTTCAATGTCAGATCTAATGAGCTCTCTGTACAAAATATAATGATTTACTTCTTTAATGTTTATCTCCTAGGAGCAAGAAATTTGATTTGAACCCAGGAAGGAAACTTGGTTGAATCACTTAAGAGAAGGTCCAGTTTTTGTCTGAAACCACCACAAATCAGTCCTGCTGAGTGATTTACAGCTCAGACTTGTCTCATGTTGGTGTCCTTCAAAATCATCACAACCCACCACAGTCTCCTCCACTGTTGCCATACTATAAAACCCTGTTTCTCCATTGAAAATAATAAATGATGAATTACTGCAGTCCTTAAGTTTGGCACAAAAAGTTTGCAGAGGGACAAAAAAAAAGACATCACCATCTGAGCAAGTCCCGCATAATTCCCATGTGACGTTTTGAGTAAGCCATTCAGGGACACCTGCTGTCATATCCCTGGACTAATCCAACACCCAATTATCTCACAGTTTGCAACTTTTCCCATCGTCAGTATAAACATCTAAAACTTTGACTTATTAGTAAAATATGGAGCAAACTTAGTGTAGATATTGGGTCCAATGGGGTAAGACACATCAGATTAAAAAGGCCAAAAAGGTAAATCATACTGGCCTGATTCTTGCGTTGTACGCCGATATTTTACCTTAAAGTTGCTGAAGGAAGGAAACTCTGTGTCAACCAATCAAATGGTTGTGAATTCACAATAAACAAAATATTGTTGGCGAACCATTTTGATGAGGAATATGATGCCAGGTCAAAGAGTTGGGCACCAAAGTCTTTTACGAGTTTCTGAGCCGGCGCTAACGTGCAATTTCTTACCTCACAAATTCAAGCGTTTTCTCCACTCGTTAGAAACCAGGTTCCTGTCTGAGCCAAACCATGAGGAGCCTGGAATCAACCAGGAGTCAAAGAACTCTTCCTTCACCAATTACGAGCCAAGATACCATCAAAACAAAAACAACCCAAGACTTCTTTTTTTGTAATCCAATTGGGACTGAGGAAATCCCCTTTGATACAATTAGGTGTGAGGAAGCCAACAAGAACAATGAGGGAGCCAGTATGGAGCCAGGACCAATAAGGTGCCAGCTTATGTGGAACCAGAAGAACCAATCAGAAGCTTGGATAATGTTAACCCAATGATGATGAGCCAGATAACTTGTCTACAACTCGATAGCCAATCAAGACCCAAAACTTTACTGATGAGTGATGTCTTTAAATTCTTTTATCACATTTTTCATCTTTTTGAAAAGTTTACAAAATCTGTCTAAACTGCCAAACGCTCCACTGTGTTCCTCGAGTAGTAGCTAACTCTCACTGCCTCCCTGTTCGTTGCTTTTCAGTAATGTTGCGGGTCATAAAACACCGCCTTATAGAGCAGTCCGAGTCCTGCCAACCAGTGCTTTCCCCTCCACTCTTTGAAACACTTTATCACAAAGCTGCATGAGCGGAAATTCTTCTGGGAGCAATATAAGCTAGCTCTGCTCTCTTGACCTCTTTGTTCTTCTGTCTTTCCTCTTACGTTTTTGTGCCATTAACCTGCTGTTAATATGAAGACGGTCTGATCTTAGACCCCCTTTCTCCTGCTATTCACCTTTAATACTTCATGCTCTTTCAGCTTAAATTTGACAGAGGCGTTTTACTCAAAAGGGTAATTTGACTTTTACAATAGTTTTCCAAAAGACCATTCTTCATCTTTGTCTCATCGCTCATTCAAAGACCTCAGACAAGTTTTTTAAGCTCGTTTCTCGCTTAATTCATTGCTTTTACTTCTCGAAGCACTGCTGCTGAACCTCGAATAAAGCTCCTCTACATGGGTATTTTTGTCCTTCTCCTTTTTCTGTCTTTATTGTGAGTAAATCAGCAGATCGCGGTACAGTTGTATTCTCCTCAGAGTTTATAGTGTTGATATTTTACCTTGAAAAAGCCCCGCTCTGCAATATTCCTTTAAAAATCAACTGTTAGGTGGCAGAGTGGCTCTGCTGACTTCCAAAAATCCTCCAAACTGACTGTGGAGGAGAATGCCGGTGTTGAATATTTAATGCACAACAACATTTTTCTCCACACTTTAGCTGTAGTTGTACGAAGTGCAATATGCTGCTGAGGAGATTTTGCAAGGGGGCTCAGAGGAAAAGGCAGCGGTGAGTCAAGCAGAAGCCATCAGGGAGGCTGCAGAGACAAACAGAGGAGGCATGTCCACAGGGAAGGAGATCGCTTTCTGTTTCCATTTGGACAATGGTTATAATCAAAGATCCCATTAAGATGTGGCGTTAAAATGGGGTCTTTAGCCAAAGGAGCGACTTGGATAATGAAAAAGCCATGTTGATGCATCACGATAACATTTCCACCAGATTTACCCAACGTATCAGACCAAACTGCTTCGGTCCAGGACTGGTGAACTGGTTTCAGTGGGTGTAAATGTTTTGTATTCGTCAAACCCTCTGTATAGTGTCTGCAGAAAGAATCAGGATATTGGAAAATCCTCTGTGGGTCGATGTATGAGCCCCTAAATTACCTCAATAGAGCTCATTTTTGAAATTGAATGGGCTTCCTGAATGATTTAAGAGCGGGCTTTATGGAAATAATGGAGCGCAAGTGCGGTAACAGGGAGCGAACGGGGTAACAAGCTCAAAACAATAAACCTAGTCGCAGAAAAACATAATAGCAGAACTTATAAATGGATGCCCATGCAAAAGCCAAGTGAATAGAGACATAAGAGCTGAATACGCACGGTATGCAAGCAGTAAATCAGGTAGTAAATCTTATGAATGGATGTTCAGGCACATACAAACAGTGGTGTGCATTTGAGTTTGCATTCATTTAAGAAACACGGGATTGCTCGAGCATCCTGAGAGATCTTTCTGGTCGGGGTGGATGGGGGAGGCTGTTCCTTAGGGTGGTATAGACATGTTAAGGGGGGTGCAACGCAAGAATGGAAGAATGGCAGGTCCACACGAATGGTCAGTTTGACAAGCTGTACCTGAAGAAGAGTCCATGTAGGGTAAGAACAAAGGACAACATATTTTAAGGAGCCTTAGGTGAATATATGGAGAGCCCATATACGGGAATACCAAAGCGTAACATATTTTGAGTGATGTCAAAAATGTGTACAAGGTTTTTTTGTTGAGGATGGTTGTCGGAGGCCCCTGGCTCGAGGAATCTAACACCAACGTATCCATGGTATCTGAGTTACATGGCTCCACCGCCCTAAAGGCTGATGGGATTGGCTTAAGAAAATTCTCCTAACAGCTTCCAAGGTGACCCATATTAAACCAAACAACTCAAGATATACAAGTCCACAAAACTAATCATTTATTATAAACTCACCTCTTGCTGTGGCTGTAGCTGGCTGTTACTACAATATAACATAATGGTCTACTACCTGGATGTAAACAAGCACAGATGAAAGACAGCATCTCGTAGTGTTGCCATGATTTTTCAGTAGTTTGATTAAGAAAATGGAGATTCAGGCGTAAGTAGAGTGGAGCAGGTTATACCACATGACAGCGCCAGTACATGGACAAAAGAGTGGTGATGCTAGCTCTGCTAACATTAGCCACAGACTCTGTGATGTCCTTTTTAAGTTGTATTTAACTCACGTTTGACTGTATTCTGAGCATTTTCATACCTTTTAGTTTGAACAACAAGGTGTTTGTTGAGTAATACTTCAATTTTTGGAACTAATGCTTTCATTTTTCTTAGGAAAAGGAAAAGTCAAAAAATGCTATCAAGGTAGACAGGATATCAGCATACTTTTCTTAGAAAACCACTTAAAGAGTGCAAATTGACAGTTTGCCTTCTATTTTAAAATAGGGTGTTCCACAAGGCCCCAATCTGGGTCCCGTATTATTTCAAAATTTAAATCATTAACTGAGCAAAAGTTTTATCTTATATTGATGATACTATTTTCTCCTCCAGCTGCTTGCTAAAAAAGTGTGTAGAAATCTGAATATTTATTGATATCAAGCATTAAAATTTTAGATCAGACCATCATCTGTGAAGATACTGGGGCTTTCAAGGACAAGAAGTTCCCATAGTCCCATAGTAGTGATTCTAAACAAGTCTAGTTCCAACTCTGTTCGGCTAAATGCCTCTGGATATTACACACTAGACCTCTAAGAGAAATTCAAGACTCAAACTTCATGCTGGCCAGCTAGTGAGTGCAGCTTCACATGTTTACCACGTATGATATGAACCGTAATTTTGTTCTCCTTGAACTCCTGAGAGGAATCCCGCTGTCCAGCTGCCAATTGATTCATTATGTTCATCACAAACTAGCCGCTAACTTCGAATGTGTGCTGTTTGTTGCTGTGCAGGTAGTGTAGTGGCTTTAATGAGAGCTTTTTACTCTGAAAACAGCTGCCTTCTGTTCCTGGAAATGAAACTATGAGAGGCTGACAGTGAACCCAAAACAGTAATTTTGCGGGCCATAAAACAGTGCCAGCTAGAGTGGTTTTAAGTGGCGCCAACCAGTGCTTTCCCCTCTGCTCCTGGAAACACTTCATCACAGAGAACAGTGTATAAACATGGATGCCTTTAGTCATACTGATAGAACCATGAAAGATATACAGTATTTATACCCGTGCTGTTTGTGTGGAGAAACTCAAGTTGGCTCTTCTTGCTCGACTTCTTTCTACTTTTCTTTTTTCTGTATTTTCCTGAAGTCAGTCTGCTTTTAATGTAATGATATTCTGATCTCATGCCTCTTATTCCCCGCTTTTCATCCTCTATAACTCAACTTAAATTTTGACATCTGCTCTTAACTCAGAAAAAGGGGGTAATTTGACACGTACAATGGTTTTTGTTAATGTCATGGCATTCTTCATCTTCTGCCTCATCATTCTTCCCCATCTTCTTCACTTCCCATAAAGAAAATCTGAAGTTTTATTCGCTGCTCTTTCGATTCAGTGCCTCTACTTCTCCTTGTTGCTTCCCAAACAGGATATTGAATTAATAGGAAGTCATAACAAATATCCATAAAGCTCTAATATGTTTTGAACAATCCCTATTGTAATTCTAACCAACTGAAGTACCAAACAGTGTGCTGGGGTTGTCACTTTTTATCCTAAATTTGAACCTTCATTGAGTTTTCAGGCAAAAATTCATATTTGAACTGATATGAGTTTTCCCAAGACGCCTCAAATAGTTTGCCATATGATCCAGAAGAGGGCACTCTAACTTGGTCAATCCATACGCACTTTAATTAATACAGGAGGACCATCACCAATAAAACTGCAAAATCCAACCATATCCGAACATTTACACCTCTTGTTTCGATGTTTTCCTTTAAAAACTGGCAGCCCAAGAATGCACCAGGCAGCACTGCTTTATCATTTGATGTTGTTGAGTGAACTCATAGAAATACGTTCATAGTTAAAGTTCAATACTAATTTGTACATGCATCAGTCAGTCTCAGCATGGGGCTGTTGTTCAGCCAGCCCTGCTTATCATACTGACAGGACCTGCTGTGTCGCACCAGGGAGGCTAGCTTAAGATGCACCAAAATTCTGGACTTTAAGGCTGTGTCTGAATTGAATAACTCAATCCCTAACTCCTAACCCCCATATGGGGTCTCACTATATAGTTGACTATGTAGTGAGCTCAATCACCGGAGGTTTCAGACACAACATGGCAAGACGCAATGCATGACGGGATGCCCACCACCGGTGAGTGACCATCAGATGGTCACGACATGTCGCTATGCTCTGTGCGAAATTTTAAGTCGCCTATATGGGGCATTGGAATTGATCACTCAGATTGATCAACCCTAGCCTGGCTGGGCCATCCAGCTGCGTGAATCACTTGCCGTTCCTTCCCACAACAGTCTGGACTTCGGCCAATTTGGAGCATGTATTAGAAATCAGGAAATAATCAAGCCAATCAGTGACTGTGTTTCCACTGTTCCCCGGACAACAGAGAAAGGCAGCCCCTGATTGGTCCATGTGTAGATGGTGACGTCTAACACATGCTGCGGGACTTTTCAAAGTGCTGTTAATTCTGCAGTTGACTTTGCAAAGTCATCAGAAATCGTTGATATCCGCAGAAGAAGACGTAAAAGACATTGTTTACTCGCTCACGTTGAAATATTACCAAACCTTTACTTGATGCTTGAGAGCCCAGCAGGGAACACAGTTTCGCACTGTGATGACGTCAGATGTTTGGTTACGGTGATTGGTTACAGTAGTCTGTCTATCAAGGAAAGTACTCCCGCCCACTTTTAGGGCTCCCAATTGGCCGAAGTCCAGACTGTGGTGGGAAGGAACGGCAAGTGATTCATGCAACTGGATGGCCCAGCCAGGCTAGATCAACACAGCCTAAATGTGTAAAGAAACGAATCAGTGTGCTAGCTGTCAAAGAATTCCTTCGAAAAGTACCAGGTAAGAAGGATGCAAAGTTTCAAACACAATGCCCTTTTTCAGGCGTCCAACATGTTGGAACAATTGGCTGAACTAAATGTCTGTTGGGTTGGTTGGTGTCTGACTTTAGTTTAGGAGATCGATCTGATCTTTCTCCAAGATGTAGCCAGTATGCTTTCTGGACTTGGCCCTGCGTTCGGCCCTGTACACAATTTAATCGACGGTGTATGATCCCTTTAATCTGTATTAGATGATCAGCAGGATCTTACTTTATTCCCTGTAGCACCTCTTTCACTGTGATGGTATGGGTGTTGCCAAATGTCTGCCCTCACTTGATTAAATTAAGCTGTCTCGATCAGGAAGTCCGTCCAACAGAGTCACAGACTGTTTGAGGTAACAGTCGCACTAAAAGGATTTAAAAAGTCACGTCCAAATAATTAAAGGAAAATGCATTCATTGTTTGACTCTTCAGAGCCGATCAAATTTGACCTTTATTGTGGATTAAATGATTAAATTATTTCCTGTGGGAGAGAATCTAAGTAATTCAAAGTTGAATGCACGGATGAGATGTTGTTTTCTAGCTGCTCAGACTTAAATGTTTTCCTTCTTTCTGTTCATTCTTCTGTCTTTCCTCTCTCCTGCTCATATTTGCTCTCCTGAATATAGACACACATACATGTAGGTGGTGCAGATATGGTAGTCAGACATACCAGCTGTTTGACAAACACAGGTGTGAGGGGGTGAGCAGCACAGACCAAGCCTGCCATCTACTGACAGAGACAGAGAATAGTCTCAGCAGCCTCTGTTAGGCCTCAGCAAAGCTTTAATGTCTGCTGTTGAAGTTTTATCCTGAGATGAGGACCTCTTTTTGAGAATTTATCATAAATAAGTGAGCATCCTCTTAACTTAAATATGTTCTTTGCATGTTTTGATTCTTGATAAAGTATCAGAAAATGTCATTTCTACTTCCTGTTTGATTTACCTGTCACCAGAATTCACTGAAGAGACATATAAGACATAAAATTGGGCAATCAGTAAGAGTCTATAGATAGATGGATTGATCAGATGACCATGCAATCCAACTAATTAAAAGTATTTTATTTAAAAAAGGCATAATGTTTCAATCATCTTTTCTTAACTAAGCCTCATTTTTTTCACTTCTATATTACAGGATTTTAGATTGAAAATGGTTTCTAGGTTGAGTTTAGTATTGGGGCTGCCACGATGATTTGATTAAACGATTAAAGGTCGACAATCAAAATGGTCAACAACTATTTTAGTAATCAACGTAATTGTTTTTTTTATGCTTTGTTTTTCCCCCGAAAGTGCCGCGGAACCCTCTCTCATAGCCTTCGCTAAGTGTGCCTTGTCACCACCTGATCCGAAATCCGAAGACCTTTTTTTTTTTTTTTTTTTTTTTTTGTAGATTTGTAAAAATCTACAATTTTTTTTCTACCATCCTACAAAAAAGATATTGCATCCCGGAGACCCGATTTGAAGTGAAATGTATGTCACTTCCTCTACTAGCCGTCTTTGTGGCAGCTCAGCAATACTTTACCCCTCGCAGTTTGTGACAGCTTCAGCATCAGCAAGCTCGCTTCAGTCAGAATGGTGGGGAAAAGTCCCGCCTCCTTCGCCTCCGATTGTCTAGAAAAGCTGGAAACTTCATCACACGCAAGGCAGACTTGGGATGTCGGCTCTGTACATCAGTTAGAAAATTACAGAACATTATCGCACTTCTAAATCTCCTAACCCTAATCCTAATCCTAACCAACCAATCAAAGTCCAGCACTTCTAGCCAATCAGAGGCGAAAGAGGACGGGACCTCCATCCTACAAACAAACAAACAAAAAAACGCTCCCAAGACGGATCGGGTCGCGAAATGTCCTGGACGCACTTGCGCAGTAGAACTCATGGAAGTCGGCGTCTGACGTCACGACAACTCAATAACAATGGCGAGCAGGACGCGTAGCTCCGGTGTTTGGGAGCGTTTTACCGAAAATATAGAGGGGAAGTCCGTGAAATGCAAGATCTGGGAGACACAGCTTGCGTTTCACGGCAGCACGGCTAACATGTACTAGCACTGAAAAAGAAAACACGTCGGGTTGGCTGACGAAGAGGTCGCCGGAGAAGGACCGTCGCCTCGGGGAGCTAGTTGGCTAATTATCTGACGGACGAGACCCCTGTCAATGGTAGAGGATGAAGGCTGCAAAGGAATGAAAAAGTATTTGATATTTCTTTAGTTGTTGATAGTTCTAATATATTTTCTAAATAATTGTAGTCATGTCGATTATCAGATTAATCGTTTGTGGCAGACCTGTTTAATATAAACTCTGTTAAACCTGTAACCCATCTTAGATAACTATATATGTAATGAAACTGCTTCTTAATTTACTTTTTTAAAAATTAATTTTAACGTAAATATTTTTCTGTGTTGTCTTTTTTAACTGCGTGGAAAGAACATTTTACTGTTTCTGTCTACATTTATTTTTTATTCAATGTTCCCTCTGCTTCAGTAATTCTGTTTGTCATTTGATAGTTTTATTTATGTCTGATAATTTATGAAACATAAAAACAAAATAGGGGGAAAAAAAACAATAACATGATATCATCTTTGTACACTGGCTGTTACCGTATTTTGTTACCGAAACACCCTGTAGAAAAACAGATACTGTTTGGAGTTTTGGGTAATGTGTTCAGCAGGGAAAATTACCCACTGTGATTAGAGGGGGAAAGGCAATTTCCTGATTTCCTGTTTAGAATAATGATAATTTTTCTAACCGTATCCAGACACTAATATTACTTTATTTACATGGAGATTAAAGATACAACTATTGCGAGTCCAGATGGAACAGCATGGTGCTGGAGGATGGAGTGGTACCGTTCCTTCTTGATGAACAAATCTTCTACTCCATCACCTGCAAAACATCTCCATACCATGGAACTACCACCTCCATGCTTAATTGTGGGTGTAACACATGGTGCGTTTTTAGACGTTCACCAGTGCAACCTGTTTTTGCTCATTTAAGGACAAAACAGATGAACTCAAGATCAAACTTCTTCACTTGTTTCTCAGTTCTTGCAGCTCCAGTTCGATCAGGTTTATTCATCAGAGAACTCGACCTTCTCCTCGTCCATGTTTACTAACCCCTCCTCCATACCTCTGTGTTTTTGCAGTTATCATCTCTCGGAGCCAAAAGCTGAAGATATACAGCAGAACCTTCATCTTCTCCGCCTCAGTCTGCACAGGGGGTTCCTGAGCTGTGTCACCAGTGAACTCAAAGGAGGAGAGGGGGAATCTAAGACTCGATGAGTCCGGGTGACATCAAGGTGAGAAGATGTTTTATTCATCCACACAAAGCTCCTGAATTCACTCAAATCAAATTCCCCCACCTTTGTGTGAGAGATCAAACTCCAGGTTTGACACGTATCGAAATGATTGGATTTTTTTAACTTATAAAGGGCAGGAGAAAGTTTTGTGTCAGGAGAGGACAGGGTGATGTTTTCCAGAGAAAGTTTCATAAAAATAAAAATACTTTTGTGGTAAAAAATGTGATTTCCATCGCCCAAAACCTGCTTTTTATTCTCCTCTATTTCACTGCAGCATTGTGTCTTGACGAGACAGCTGCTCGCACATTCATGTGACCTTGGCTCCCTGCTGATTCACTTGTTTTGTTGCAAAGCTTTCATCCTTCTTTTCTCCTTTCCTCTCAGATTTTTTCTCCACTCCTCCTCCATCCAACTCTGATCTGCTGCTACCAAAGAAATTTAAACACCCTCTCCGTGTTTGAAAGCAGAGATGCGCTGATTAATCTGGCTAAGATTGAACCAATCAGCGTTGACTTGATGCCTGCGCTCCTGAGGTGGGTGAGAGGAAATGTCTGCAAGCACTACAGTCAACCACGTCACTCAGTACATTTACAGACACAGTTAACTGCAATCATAGTTGAGGATTTCAGGGGAGGGGGGGGCAACCTAGCTGTTCCCTGAATCCCCTTCTGACACCAGCAGCTCCAGCAGCAGTTTGTTTTCACGCCCAGCGTTGTCTGATCATGTGAAGATCCTCATTAGCTGAACACAAAAACAACACAACTTGTGTTTTGAGTGGTTCATTTTGACAACAGGTGATCTGTGTATGGACAACACCTCTTAATGATGATCCAAAGTAAACTCGATGAAACTACATTCTAAACAAACTAGTTCACAACACTGTTAACACTAAAAACAAAGTCGAACCTGTTTCAGCTGTGTTTTTTTCCTCTTGTGTTGCATTTCCTGACCAGCAGAGGGCGGCATTAAACAGCTGCTGCTTTGTAATGGTGTTATTGTTCATTAAACACACTGCAGGCTGAACAGTGACTTTGGGGGGCAATGAAATTGAGCATATCTGCCATAAAAATACAGAACAGAGAACAGTTATAATGATCTGTGTCTTCTAAACATTAAAAAGACCGAGAGAGGACAGAAGGACAGACACAGTTTTAACTCTCTTGAGTGAAAAAACTGAACCTCCTGTCAACAAAGCAGTCTTATCTTTTCTTCTACATACTAAGGTTGTGTCCTGCTGACCGCAAATCAGAAAACCCAGAGGATCCTTGTGCCATCCTGTACGATGACGAGCAGAAGTCTGACATCAGCGCTCGGTTGCGGGCCCAAAGGTGAGATCGGGGGGTGTATTGCTTGGGTCGGCTTCGAGCTCAGTGAGTATGTGCTGGGGAGGGAGACAAGTTTTTTTTTTTTTCACATTAGTGTTTGTTTTTTAAAGGCAGGAAACGCAGATGAAATAGGCCACATTGTCAGCGTAGAGAAGAAAGCAGTAAAAAAACAAGGATTCCTCTAACTTTCTCCAACATTAATATGGCAAATTATTAGCCCCCCTATAAAATTTTGTTTTCTTTCCCAAATTTCTTAAGTGCTGTTCAATAGATTAATGATTTTTTTTTACACAGCTTTTCCAAACATCCTAGTATTATTTTGGATCCTTACATTATTTTACTTTGCGCACAGAAACAAAATTATTTCATAAAAACCAAAAACTACCAGGGTCAAAATTATTAGCCCCCTTAAGAATTGACATTTTTTATGAGCCAAAACTGCTGTTGTGCAATCATGTGCTTGTAATCAATCAATCAGTTAAGTTAAAACATTCTTGTAAATTTTCATCTTTATTCCTGTGAATTCCTAACTTTCTTCATGTAAAAGTAGGCCTTTTCTCTTAAGGCTTAACATTTATTTGTAAACGTAAATTCACAGTTTTATTCTGGTTAATTTTCAGCTTTTAACCTGTAAAATTTATGACTTTTATTCTTGTCAATTCATTTCTTTGTCTAGCTTTAGATATCACAATGTTATACACGCACACATATGCAGACACACACTTTCTTTTCTCTCCTTTCTTCCTTTTAGAGACTTTGAAAAGAGAAGGAGACCCATGGCGGAGGCACCACTTCCACCTATGTGTGCGTGTTCAGTTTCCGGCTGTCCTCCTTTGGTAGCTCAGAATGAAATGTCCCTGCAGAGAAAGCTTCAGCAAAGGATTGCCAGAAAACCAGCAGCATGAACAACAAAGACCATGGCTGACAACCAGACACCTCAAAGCATTCGTCTTGTAGTAATACGTGTGTGTGTGTGTGGCCTTGGCAGAGAGTTGAAACGTACTCCTTCCCATACATGCCGATCATTCACTTTGGTTATATTATCTGCAACTTAAACTGTTAGAATGTACTTTCGCCAGGGTTAGTTTCTGCTTTTTCTAGTCTTTTATTTTGAAGGGCTCAGCTGAACGGATTGGTTTTATATCTTACTGTGTTTGCAATAAATAAATGCACTACAAACTCAGCGTAATTTTTTGACTCGAGTAGAAAACACAAAAAATAACTCAATTTTTAACTCATAATGGCACCAGGTTGACATGTGACAGATTCCAGCACAGCTTGAAGTAGTCATGTGCCTGCACTAATACAGGGTTATACTCAACGCTCGGCTACACCAATCCTTTTGAAACAATCCCAAAAAGATTCAAAGATACATAATACATAAAGTCAAAGTGTAGTATGATAAAAATGTCATAGTATAGTATGTGAAAAATGTCAAATTTGAGGGTGAAAAAAAAATTCTTTTTTAGCCTGCAAAAAATGTCATAGTATAGTATGTTAAAAATTTAATATTTTTATGTGAATTTTTTTTTTCGAATTTTGGCATAAAAATTGAGGTCATAGTAAAGAATGATAAAAATTTCATATTATAGAATGTTAAAAATGTCAAATTTGAGGGTGAAGAAAAAATAATTTTTATTTCCAAATAAAATGTCATAGTATAGTATGTTAAAAATTTAATATTTTTGCGTGAAAAAAAATTCAAATTTTAGCATGAAAATTAAGGTCATAGTAAAGAATGATAAAAATATGACAATATAGTATGTTAAAAATTCTAATTTTGTGGTAAAAAAATCCTTTTTTAGCCTGCAAAAAATGTCATAGTATAATATGTTAAAATTTTAATATTTTTGTGTGAAACGAAAATTTTAATTTAAGCATGAAAATTGAGGTCATAGTAAAGAATGATAAAATTGTCACAGTATAGAATGTTCAAAAATGTCAAATTTTAGGGTGAGAAAAAATAAATTTTTAGCCTGCAAAAAAATGTCATAGTATAATATGTTAAAAATTACATATTTTTGTGTGAATTTTTTTTTTTCAATTTTGGCATGAAAATTAAGGTCATAGTAAAGAGTGATAAAATTGTCATAGTATAGAATGTTAAAAATCTCAGATTTGAGGGTGAGAGTAAAAATGATTTTTTTAGCCTGCAAAAAAAATGTCATAGTATAGTATGTTAAAAATTTTATATTTTTGTGTGAAAAGAATTTTTTAATTTAATCATGAAAATTAAGGTCATAGTATAGTATGATAAAAATATAAAAGTATAGTATGTTAAAAATTCTAATTTTGTGGTGAAAAAAAAAATCTTTTTTAGCCTGCAAAAAAGATATAGTATAGTATGTTAATTAAATATTTTTCCGTGGAAAAAAAATTAAATTTATTCATGAAAATTAAGGTCAAAGTATAGTATGATAAAAATGTAATAGTATATTACGTTAAAAATTCAAATTTTAGGGTACAAAAAAAATCCTTTTTTAGCCTGCTAAAAATGTAATAGTATAGTATGTTAAAAATGCTATATTTTTGTGTGATTTTTTTTTTTTATTTAATCATGAAAATTAAGGTCATAGTATAGTATGATAAAAATGAAATAGTATAGCATGTCAAAAATGTCAAATTTTAGGGTGAGCAAAAATAAGTTTTAGCCTGCAAAAAATAGCATGGTATCATATTTATTTTGAGGGTGAAAATTAAAATCATTTTTTAGCCTGCAAAAAAATGTCATAGTATAATATGTTAAAATTTTAATATTTTTGTGTGAAATTGAGGGTCATAGTAAAGAATGATAAAATTGTCACAGTATAGAATGTTAAAACTCAAATTTTAGGGTGAAAGTTAAAATCATTTTTTAGCCTGCAAAAAAAATGTCATAGTATAGTATGTTAAAAATTTAATATTTTTGTGTGAAACGAAAATTTAAATTTAAGCATGAAAATTGAGGCCATAGTAAAGAATGCTAAAATTGTCACAGTATAGAATGTTAAAACTCAAATTTTAGGGTGAAAATTAAAATCATTTTTTAGCCTGCAAAAAAAATGTCATAGTATAGTATGTTAAAAATTCAATATTTTTGTATGAAAAGATTTCTTAATTTAATCATGAAAATTAAGGTCAAAGTATAGTATGATAAAAATGTAATAGTATAGTGTGTCAAAAATGTCAAATTTTAGGGTGAAGAAAAAATATTTTTTTAGCCTGCAAAAAAATGTCATAGTATAAAATGTTAAAAATTAAATATTTTTGTGTGAAACAAAATTCAAATTTTGGCATGAAAATTAAGGTCATAGTGAACAATGATAATATGTCATAGTATAGAATGTTAAAAATCTAAAATTTAAGGGTGAAAATTAAAATAATTTTTTAGCCTGCAAAAAAAATGTCATAGTATAGTATGTTAAAAATTTAATATTTTTGTGTGAAAAGAAAATTCAAATTTTCATGAAAATTAAGGTCATAGTATAGTATGATAAAAATTGTAACAGTATAGTATGTCAAAAATGTCAAATTCTAGGGTGAGCAAAAATATTTTTTTTAGCCTGCAAAAAAAATGTCATAGTATAAAATGTTAAAAATTTAATATTTTTGTGTGAAATTTTTTTTTTAATTTTGGCATGAAAATTAAGGTCATGGTAAAGAATTATAAAATTGTTTTAGTATACAATGTTAAAAATCTCAAATTTAAGGGTGAAAATTAAAATAATTTTTCAGCCTGCAAAAAAAATGTCATAGTATAGTATGTTAAAAATTTAATATTTTTGTGTGAAACGAAAATTTGAATTTAAGCATGAAAATTGAGGCCATAGTAAAGAATGCTCAAAATGTCACAGTATAGTATGTTAAAAATCGTCAAATTTTATGGTGAAAATAAAATTATTTTTAGCCTGCAAAAAAATGTCATAGTATAGTATGTTAAAAATTTAATATTTTTGTGTGAAACAAAAATTCAAATTTAATCATGAAAATTAAGGTCATAGTAAAGAATGATAAAAATGTAATAGTATAGAATGTTAAAAACGTCAAATTTTAGGGTGAAAAAAAAATTTTTTTAGCCTGCAAAAAAAATGTCATAGTATAGTATGTTAAAAATTTAATATTTTTGTGTGAAAAGAAAACTCAAATTTTAGGATGAAAATTAAGGTCATAGTGAAGAATGATAAAATTGTCATAGTCTAGAATGTTAAAAATGTCAAATTTTAGGGTGAAAATTAATATAATTTTTTAGCCGGAAAAAAAATGTCATAGTATAGTATGTTAAAAATTTAATATTTTTGTGTGAAACAAATTTTTAAATTTTCATGAAAATTAAGGTCATAGTATAGTATGATAAAAATGTAATAGTATAGAATGTGTAAAAATGTCAAATTTTAGGGTGAAAATAAAGATCATTTTTAGCCTGCAAAAAAATGTCATAGTATAGTATGTTAAAAATGTAATTTTTTTGTGTGAAATTTGTTTTCAAATTTAGGCATGAAAATTAAGGTCATAGTGAAGTATGATCAACATGACATAGTATAGAATGTTAAAAATGTAAAATTTAAGGGTGAAAATTAAAATAATTTTTTAGTCCTGAAAAAATGTATAGTATAGTATGTTAAAACTTTAATATTTTTGTGTGAAACGAAAATTTTAATTTAAGCATGAAAATTGAGGTCATAGTAAAGAATGATAAAATTGTCACAGTATAGAATGTTAAAACTCAAATTTTAGGGTGAAAATTAAAATAATTTTTAGCCTGCAAAAAAAAAATCATAGCATAATATGTAAAATTTAATATTTTTGTGTGAAAAGATTTTTTTTAATTTTGGCATGAAAATTAAGGTCATAGTAAGAATGATAAAAATGTAATAGTCTAGTGTTAAAAATGTCAAATTCTAGGGTGAGCAAAAATAATTTTTTTAGCCTGCAAAAAAAATGTCATAGTATAGTATGTTAAAAATTTAATGTTTTTGTGTGAAATTTTTTTTCAAATTTTGGCATGAAAATTAAGGTCATAGTGAAGAATGATAATATTGTCCTAGCATAGAATGTTAAAAATCTTAAATTTAAGGGTGAAAATTAAAATAATTTTTTTCCTGCAAAA